AATCGAATTACCTGATACGAACACTTATCCAGATATTGTAGAAACAATATTTGGGAGTAATTTTTCAACTGGTTTAGAAGCATAATGTTCCCGTTTGTTGACTTGTCAAAATCGATTCACCCGACTGAGACAATCAAAAAGTCTTCTTTACTTACAGCAAAAAAATGTTTATTATTTGAAGAATCGGAGTGAGACATTACAAAAGTTTTAGTTACGGAATCGATTAAATAGACAAACGAATATTTCTGCACACACACCATCAATGTTTTCTTCTAAAGAATACATTTGCGAACAGGATTCATTATCGAGCCAATTTCACATTGGTACACTTCTGAAAATCCTTGACTGTGTTTCAAAACATCGTTCACACTGAAAACAGAGAAAATTAGGATGAAATATATGGAACTAATAATGGAAAACGTTAGTATGTTATGGTGATAATTCATTCATGAACACTTTATACCAATGTTGACACTGTTTGTTGAAAAACACTTGATGTCAACGATTGTAAGCTAAACATGTGCATTAGTTGACTCTTACAAGCATATTTGCACTGCTGGGACTAAGGTTAATATAAAATGTTGTTTGTAGTATTAGCCTTGCCTGTATTATATAACCGAGTCAAAATCAAACATTTCATGACAGAGTTGACAGCCAGCAACTGACAGCTAATATTTTAAACACGTATTATGGTCATATTTTAGAGTGAAATTATCAAAATACAAATAAATTACATGAATCCGTAGGCTTCGATATGCTTCCTTGAACCGGAACCAATAGTATATAATGATAAGCCGCTGCACACTATCTACAGTTATTAGAGATAGGCGAAAATGAAAAGAATAAGGAAAAGTGCATTAGTGCATTGTAGTTAAAATTCAATGAAGATAACTTACGATCATTTGACTATATCATGAGACAGGAAAGATTATCGAGAAAACTGAAACGAAGCTTTGATCTATGTTTTCTTACATCGTAAGATAAACGGCTTAAGAAACAGAGACATACTGAAATACCGTTTTATGTATTACTCACTCAAATAAGTTGGCCTACACAAAAACCATCATATTCATTTTCGGTTCTGAGAGATATGACATGTTTGTTGTATCTCAGTGAATCATTGTCATTCTTTTATAGTATCTTTAGATCTTAGATATTTTCTGCCTATGAACGAATAAATTCTTTATGACTGATGGATCAGACGCTAAAATCGACAGTAAAGTTATTGCTGAAGTGGAGGAACTACAGTTGACTGAACGAGAGATTATTTATTATTGCTTGTAAACTGTTTTATAAAAATAAAACAGAGTGAGCGAATTGTGCCTGTTATCACTGACTTCTTGTAAATCAACCTCAAAATTCAAGCGTCATGAATTCTTGACAAGTCTGTCTACTTTGACAAGCTACTAAATTCAGTATATTTTATCAGTATTGTTTTAGTTGAATTCAGCCATAAGCACTGACGACCAATGTTGAAAAGTGTGAGAACCGAACCATGAAAACGATCAAAAGTATCAGAGATATTGTTCCCCTCCTCAAAACTCTGTGCTCCACAGTGAAATCCTCATGAGCCATCTATACGTCATTCCACATTGTCCGGAGAGTAAAATCTTGTTAGCATATTGAGCATTATTTAGAATGATTTATCTGTGTTCCTTCAGCGGCTCTTTTCAATTATAAGTGATTCGTATCTGCATACATTTTATGAGTTATCAGCACCCCTCAATATCCAAACTATATTGGCCAAATTTTGACTATGGTCAGTTTCTTCAAGAGTTTTTGGATTAACGAGAAAGTGAGAATACATGACTGTCAGTATACATTTACTACAATTTCAGATTGTTGGAAATATTTGCACGTTTGATTTGAGCCTCGAATAATGAATGTGAATATTTGAGGGATCAATTATATTTCCATTCGTTATGATATTCCCATCCACTACACAGCGAATCAACTTACAACAACTCATACATACAATATTTTAATGTGATTGAAAAAAAAATGGTTGATCCAGAAAATGGCTCCACTTTCGGAATAATAACCTTCGTATTTGTACAATAGCACAAAGAAATTTAATTCGCAAACTACTTATCTACAATACGATTTTCACAGCTGTTAATGGTTATTCAAGAATCCTCAAATTCAAAGCAACCACGCCCGAAGTTTCCTAATGAAAATTAGACTTTGAGTCTTTGAAAATATAATATATTCGTTGCAATGTCCAACAAACCTATCATTATAATCATTGTTAATTGGAATGTAATTAACAGACATATTGTCGATTATCATTCTGCAAAACAGGTTTGTATTTGCGATTGTAGAACGTGAAGATTATTTCAACAAAACAAGAACTTATTGCTAAATTGATCTTTCACAGTTTGTTTTCAACTGCTATACTTCGTTTACTGAAAGTTATTTCCTTAGTTAGCTCCTTTCGTGCATAACATCTCTTTTCACAAAATCGTTTAAATGTAAGTGTGCTCGTAATACCCTTAATAACGACTATAGTGCACCACGTTTATAAGGAATCATTGTAAACTGGGTTTTCATTCAAATGAACTTTGAATGGTGTGTATAACTTACTTTCGCAAATGCTGAGAAAAACATCTTCTTTTCATTTAAGCTATCGAGATTTCCAGTTAACCTTTTCTTGTATGCCTGCAATAAATGTGAGTAAATTAACAAGAAAGAATATTATGTACAGGAAAGTATCTCGCGGTTGAACAACATATAAGGCGGACAAATGTTGATGAGAGAGCATTATGTAACGTGTGTGACCTACATGTAACTCTTCCGAGATCAACTTATATAATATCTCTTACAAGCGAGATCTAACGATTAGGTGGAAAAACACTGAAGGTATTTTGAATCCTTGGATGCCTGTATGTGCATTGAAATACAACATGCTTAATAATGAGATTGATGAGTTGTCTATCGAGCTCAGAACTTTCTTTCGGTTTGGTTTTCAAATGTTCTGCCACCCTCGTGCTCCTCATTTTCCGGATCTCAATGTTTAAGGTCTAGTTCGTTCACATTTCTTCTGTCTATTGACGATATTGTCACGTCTGGCATTTTATCACTAACTCGTATTCTCGTGTACAGCGAACAACTACTGGTCAATCCGACAAACACAAGCGCCTTTCAAACAACAAAATCGATGTGGCAGCGTTTAAATAGGTTTCGCTTCCGATCTCTCTAATTTCCGACACCTCTGAACTCAAACATACCGACATTACTTTTCATGCTCATTCGTATCAAACACATCCCGAGATTCTTTCTTGTTCATATGAATCATTTCATCAAGCATCACTCTCACGCTGCCGCTCAGTAGCATCCCTATGACCGACAGCTTTACCTGCATCTTCATAACATCAGACAGCTTTGTCTTGCCCAAGTGCGTCTAAGATAGATCCTGTCTTCACCATCTACAAATCGCTCTGACGAGACACTTCAATGCTTAGCAGCACTGAACAAGCAACCTAAAATTAATCACGGAAAGTCGAAAATTTCATGTTCTGCTATCTCAAATATCATGAATGTGTTATTATTATGTTGTGTTAGACAATAACTCAATCACTAGCGGAGGGTCCACCAAAATCACGTTGATTTGTTCATCAGCTCAATGTAAAATACAAGAGCGATCAACTGTATATCGTATCCGCAAATTATTCAGTGAAATTCAAATTCAAACAATGAAATTGTTTAATGCGGATCTAGGAAGTGTTTATAGAATTCACGTGTCACTTTTAAATATTAGTGATTGAGGAATATTTTATCATTTAAATTAACTTACTTCAAACGACAGCATAAGACCAGATATACCAGTTGACAGTTGTTCAACTAACTAGTTGGTATGAAAATGGTGGAGATGACATAAAATTTATACGTCTATGACATACATATTAGATTTTCAAGTTCAATTTATATAATATCTCTGACAAGCGAGACCTAACAATTGAGGAGAAATAACACTCAAAGGATGTTGAAGCTTTGAGTGCCTGCATGTGCATTCAAAATACAACATGCTTATTGATGAGATTGATGAGTTTTAGTACGATCACAAGGTTTCATTTAATTACCATCACCGTTCTAAGCTTCATTTTAGAGAAGATATTGAATATCTTAGCGCAGTATGTGACAACTAACTGTCAGATCACTACCTCACTAAATACTGAAACAACAATATGAAACTGTACTGTGTCCTCATAACTTTCAATTATGAAGAAAACTCGCTTCGTAAGGCGTTTGCATATACGAAGTTTTCAATATAATTAGCACCATTCCTGAGAGAATCGACGAAAACATCAAAGAGCGAATAAACGCGACAAACTGTCAAACCATTTGATTTCGGTCTAAATTTCAACTGAACTTACGTATCGAATAAACAATATTTCACATATTCCTTTAACGTGATATTTCTAGCAAGCTATTGATATCAATCTTCACAAATGACTTAAAATTTTCATAGTTGTGGCGTGAGTCAATTGAAGCTAGACCACCATGGAAAAGCTGAAAGTACTGGACGGCCGTTTCGTCCTACTATGGGACTCCTCGTCAGTGCTCATCCACGATCACGCACTCGCGATTTTTGGACCCATGACCTAACAGTCTCGAACCAGAGCCCATAACCGATAGACTACTGAGCCGACCGGTATTCAACGGCGTTAATGTCTAACTTCAACTGATCCACGAAGTTGGGCAACCGTTCACCAACTGTCTTCAGTGGTCTAGCTTCAATTGACTAATGCTTTCAACTATGAAAAAAGAAATCTCCACAAAACTTCTTCTAAAATTTTTCTATTTTATTGATAAATTGATTGGTATATTATTCAGAAACTATGTACATATGATGAATGTAATATACCCCTGTATTTTATCACCATGGTATTCTTTAAACTTTGAATGAATGACATCTTTCATGTATACCACAATAAACAATTCCGAAATTAAAATGCTGAACACCGTGTGAAGATTCAAAACCTTTTGAACTAAAAGTACGTTTAGAATTTTCTTACTTCATTCTGAGGTATTTCAGAGTTGATTTGTTCTGATAAACAACATAATTGACTTCCAAACGGTGTAGAAGCATTTGGTTTACACTCTAGTGGATATCGCGTTTGTCTTCTCAACTCCTTATCATATAAAACTGTAATGGAAATATACGTTTATCTCAATAGGTTTTCGAAAATCAATATAACTTGAATTTTAAACGGGATGACTACTGTTAAGCTGAAAATTGATTTCAGTGTATTTCTGTCAATTATGAATACTTACTTACTTTACTTACTTACGCCCATTACTCCCAATGGAGAATAAGCCAAAGACCAGCATTCTACAACACACTCTGTTCTGAGCCTTCCTTTTTTAGTTCTATCCAACTTTTGTTCATTCTTCTCATGTCTGTCTCTATTTCTCGCCGTAATGTGTTCTTTGGTCTCCCTCTTCGTCTTTGACCTTCAGGATTCCATGTGAGTGCTTGTCCTGTGACGCGATTGGGTGATTTCCTCAAAGTGTGCCTAATCCACTTCTAGCGCTTCTTCCTGATTTCTTCCTCTGCTGGAGTCTGGTTTGTTGTCTCCCACAGTAACTTGTTGCTGATAGTGTCTGGCTATCGGATCCGAAGTATCTTGCGTAGACAGCTGTTGATGAACACTTGTATCTTCTGGATAATGGCTTTCGTAGTTCTCCACGTCTCCGCCACATACAGTCTTGACATTTGTATTGAAAATTCTAACCTTGGTGTTGGTTGACAATTGTTTCGAGTTCGAGATGTTCCTCAATTGTGGATATGCTGCTCTAGTTGTGCCATTTGATGACCTAAAATAGTATACTCATACCTATCGATAGTAAATTTCTTTATCAATGTCTTACTGTTTATCACATCGCAGATACAACCACTTATATATAAAATCACAACATCTACACCTATATTCGACTTGCCACATTCATATGAGAATAGTTCACCATTATAATGTAAAATTTTCAGACTAGAATCTACTAATTTTCACATAAATCAGACGCCGTCTCATTTGATTGTAAGATTTAAAAAGACATCCACACATTCTCAATACTGCTTAAATTTGAATGATCAACCTGAATGAACTACTGTCCTCTGAATTTCGCAAAAATACATGTGAAAAGCACATCTACATTTATGCTGTTTACATCCGGATGAGTTAACTGGGAAACCCACAATACCGTCAGTATTTATAATGCGCCAAAATATCTACGATTAGCACCATTGGTCTCAGTTTACTCAAATCTCAATGGTTCATAGAAACAACTCACATACACAAACATTTCCCAATTGTTCGTGACCGATTTTTATATCCGATTGTCGTGCCATTTTGATTCAAATACATGCGGAGAAATCTTAAAACCTACCTGCAGATATAATCTGAGAACCAAGAAGCCAACCGAAAATTCCGTACTTTTCCGACATTGAATGTGATTCACTCCAAAACGGTGGATGTAATATCCCAGAAAATATAACAACTACACGACTTCCAACGGCAATGACAGGATAAAACAAATGCAACTGATCGCTAAATATATGTAAATATACAAAAGAAGATTTATTTATTCAGAATGATTTATGCATTTTTAAATCATTAGAAATGACTGAATGGGTAGACCTGTCATTGAAGTAATGTGATGTTTGTCTATTCACTGATGACATATCGAATATCTTGTTTCATAGAATGAAATTCAAGTAGAGTTGCCGAACTTAGGAGACTCAAATCGTGTAAGTTTCTTGCAATGCAAATATTCGAGATCAACCGTCCTCCTGATGACAGATACATTCAAAGTGCAACACAAAACGGAAGAATAGATGTAGTATTATGTTAAAGATCGTTATTAGCACTGTTATAGTAATAAAGCTTGTTCAAAAATTGATGATATATCATGAAATGACCGTCAAATCTATAAGATGTTGCGTGGAAATCACATCATTGTCAACAGTAACTCTGATGAATGGAACAAAATTTAGTGTAATTGTTTCAATCATGTTAACGTGCCTATTTTGCAAGTTACATGTGATTAAATCTATATTTGCATTATGTGATTACATCAGATCAAAGTAAATTGTACCGTCTGCAGTTTTGACCTCGACAAACACGTTTCGTTTTCTTCTACTGTTAGGACAATTTTTAAAAGTGAAAGAGGATTTGAATATTGACTGTCAAATGAAGTGAGTTATATCACCCATTTCATAATGATTCATAAAACCACTAGTTGAGTCATAACTAGTTGTGAATTGCGATGTCATAAACGGTACTTATCCTATAAACATAGGGTTTATTTTGCATGACAGTGTGTAGTAATTATGATACATAGTAACAAAGTACAACTCACAAGTTCAGTAACATTGAATCTTCTGATGAAGATGTTTTAGTTCGAGCTTTCTGAGAGTAGTAGGCATTTATAAAGTAGTTATTCTCAGAAAGTTCATTCTGAAAGAGAAACCAAAACATTTATTAACTATTTTGACAGTTTCCGATTTGTCAAATGAAAGAAATTGTTATCGTTTCAACTGTTTCAACTGTTTCAACTCAACAGCTTTCATTTCCTCGGATGCAGAAATTATTGTTACCAATAATGCACAAGATAGTATGAAGGCAGTGCAAACAATTGTGTTAACCATAATCAATGCAATCCTCTGATAAATGATCTATATGGAGATCTGGGGTATATTAAGTCAAATAGCTTAATGGCAGACTTGCATTTCTATTGTTCAACAACTACATTTATTCTAGTACTGAAATAATGAGAATTGTTAATGTCACTCATGACACTTTGGAATAATCCCTCTGAATGATAACACTTCTGAAGAATAATGTGTGAGAACACATGACGTTTCCCCCACTCTCTTTATTTTCCTACCATTAAAAGTCTCAAATCTATCAATTTATTTAGTGTTTGTAATGTAAGCGTATTCCTTTCCTTGATTATTTTCTCACATGTATTTGAACGTGTTTATAGATCTGTTTTTAAAAGTGCCGTCGAAAGTGAAATGTGGAGCTTATTATTCTTAGACTTGTCATAAAAAATGTATACCCGAAGTCGAGAACTCGATTAGTGTATCAATAAGCAGAGCAAACATCTCAACTACTACACAGTTTAAAATGAATCTTTGTCTTTACATATTGATAGCGCTTCTACAAACTCTACTCATGTTCAAGTAATTATGGTCATTTATCAGTTTACTCATAGACGAGTGTTTTTCCAATGGTTCTGACACATCGAAGCTAGATACTTCAGATTCGGTTCCACAAAGTTTAATATGCATGTGCGATGACTCATTCATATGACCTGCTATCCGATCAATATCTTTGCTTCGATCCGCCTTACTATTTGCATGGAAATCAAGCTCGTTTGCGATACATCCTACACATCAAAATCCCTTTGTGTCGACAATGTAGGACTACGGATGACGAAAGTAATAGGCTGTTTTAAAGTGAAATAGGTGTAGGACGTAAAACACAAACATTAGCAATAAGAACCTCAAAGAGAAGCACTTACACGTTCACATGGAGTGGGCAGTGAGGAAGCTACTAAGAATGAGTAGATACAGCTTCGCAAATAAACCATCTAGCTCGATAAGCTCACCACTTCAAAATATGGTGATACATATACATATATATATATACGCTGTTCTATTGATAAGTTGACAACAATTACATGAGTTGAATGATGAACAGATTGATAGGAAAGCTCATCAAACATCTTAGCAAACATCTCAACTACTACACAGTTTAAAATGAAGCTTTGTCTTTACATATTGATAGCGCTTCTACAAACTCCACTCACGTTCAAGTAATTATGGTGAATTAGCCGTTTACTCATAGACGTTTATGAGAATAACGAATAATTTTTCAATGACTCTGACACATCGAAGCCAGATTCTTCAGTTTTGGTTCCACATAGTTTGATATGCATGTGCGATGACTCATTTATATGCCCTGCTATTCGATCAATATTCTATGCTTCGATCTGCCTTACTATTTGCATGGAAATCAAGCTTGTTACGATACATCCTAAATATCAAACACGTTTTGTGTCGACAATGTAGAACTACAGATGATGAACGTAATAGGCTGTTTTAAAGTGAAATAGGTGTAGGACGTAAAACACAAACATTAGCAATAAGAACCTCAAAGAGAAGCACTTACACGTTCACATGGAGTGGGCAGTGGTGACGCTACTCAGAATAAGTAGACAGAGCTTTGCAACTAAACCATCTAGCTCGACAAGCTCACTACTTCAAAATATGGTGATACATATACATATATATATTCACGCTGTTCTATTGATAAGTTGACAACAATTACATGAGTTGAATGATGAACAGATTGATAGGAAAGCTCATATTTTCTCAATCACATACAGAGAATCCTCTACTTGGCTGAATCATTGATCATGAAGTTAAGAAATAATAAAATATTTAGTGTTACACTTGAGGAACATACTTCGAGTATTATATCTGGTTCTTTATTTACTTTATCGAGAAATGCTGAATCAACCATTAATGCACTGATGTTGGAAACCTGAATAATGCAATCGGTTAATATTCACACTATCTATCAAAACAAGACAAACCGTTGAAATAGCCTTTTGCTTGTCATCTTCACTGCTCCATGACCGTTGAGACAATAATTTAGTCAATTTGTGCTTCATTTCGTTGAACATTTGATTCACCTATTCAATATAAACAGATGTAACGATCAAAGTGATGAATAAATAAAAGATGCACGTTATCAGTGGTTGTTCGTATTTTATTACATAATTATCAAGTAGTTGTAATAATAATAAATAGTGATTCACATTCTCTCCCATATTCAGCACATTTCACAATTGCTCCAGCTACATATTTACACAAATTTTGTCAAAGCATCCAATCAGATATGCATATGTTAAAGGAGAAAATGAAATTTTCGAACTCCGCCTTACATTGATACTGGCTAGTAGTAGAATCAAAGACGCACGTTTCGTCCTATTTGAAACTCGTCAGCTGGATGTACCAGCCACTGAGTTCGAGTCCCATAATGAACATCAACTTTGAGATTCAGGTACATCCAGCTGACTAATCCCATATAGGACGAAGAAGCGCGCGTCAAACTGGATTCTACTGCTAGCCACTATCCATCTCTGCTTACCACGCTTGTGAATTGAGGCTATATCGAGGCAATACGCACAGTATGCACATATGCCAATTAGAGACTGACCAGTTGCAGTCCTAACACATCGATGGGAAGATTCAGACAAACAATACTAAATGAATTTTAATTCCGCCTTTCATTATTTGTTAGTGTTTTCATGACTATATTTTGAACGTATCACTGTCGTGATTTGCCATATTTGCAAATATGAACCATAGATATATGATAAATTATAGAATTCGAGACTCACTTCATCTTTTGTAGTCTTACTTATACTAGAATATTTGTGTTCTTTGTTTATTGTCCACCAGAAATTCTCCTTCGTTTCCTCGAAGCATGTTGCTGGTTTTTTATCTTAAATTTTTTTTGGTAGAAAGACATCAACATGTTGTTACATATATACTTCCAGTTATACACAGACAACTTTCAATACTTTTAATCATAATTAAATGTAAATTCAACAAGTACCACCACTCATCTTATCCTCTGATCATATGGATCATATTGTTCATACTTCCTCTACTCTATTTGTACATTTTTCATTGTTCATACTGTTCAAAATGATAAACAACGTTATAACCTTCAGTTGAACTTCATTTTATCATTCAACTGATACAGAAAAACCTAACAGACATGAAAAGTGAGGAACAATCTGACTGAATTACACGACTTCGTGCCTTAAGTATTTCACCTTGCATAAACTGTGAATACATTATGTCAATTTATTCGCAAATTAGTTAACGAGCAGCCTAACTGCTTCTCCCAACTACTTTGTCAAGATTTATATTCCGACGTGCATTCAAATTAGTTCGACATATATGATACTGGATGTATCAATAATCTGAAATATGTTCCATCGTGTTTATTTGTCTTCTATCTACTTTACAACTTTATTTGGAGATAAAGCAGTCAGCCTTTAAATAGTCAAACTATATACTTATGTTTATTTAACTGCCTATGGTACTCACCATTATTTGTAGGATAAAAGTCTTCAAAATATTGCTGTAAGTAGTTCCGCATTTTGTACAAGAAATCTATCACTACCATATTATGTATGTTTCTATAAGAAAAATTACAAAAACCGCGTACTCAATTCATATACCAATAGAATTTAATTTAGAATCAACAGTATTTATCGATCCTCAACGTCGATGTCGACAATTCTCAACAACTAAGTTTATGAGACAGATATAGTATGAAACATACACAATGAACACTCTTCATATATTTTCTTGTCCGCAATCTTCGTCTTATCACTTTGATGGGAAATCATTTAATATATTATTCATTTGTATACTCTCTCTATATATACAGTGATCAAAGTTATTTTAATCAACTCATATCAATCTTATAATCTTCAACACAATTCATTCATCCTGAACTCCGCCTGTAGCTCTTCTAGATTTACTGCCGGTCCCAAGCCCTATGGGAACCCTGGACAAAATTCAAGAAAGGAAGAACAAGAAACTAGCAATTAACAACAACCGATCACGAGCAGAGAAAGTCAAAGCACAAGCAGACTACGCAGAAGCAAACAGGGAAGTGAAGAAAAGCATTAAAGCCGACAAGCAGAAATACATGGGAGAACTAGCAACGACGGCGGAAAAATCCGTAAGAGAAGGGAATATGAAACAATTATATGATACATCGAAGAAATTGGCAGGGAGATATAGCAAACCAAGGAGACCAGTCAAAGACAAAGAAGGAAAGACAATCACTGAGATTCAGGAACAGAGGAAAAGATGGGCAGAATACTTTGAGGAACTGCTGAATAGACCAGCCCCATTGAATCCACCGAACATCGAAGCAGCCCACACAGACCTTCCAATAGATGTCACTCCACCAACGATCGAAGAAGTCAAGATGGCCATCAGACAAATCAAAAGTGGGAAGGCGGCAGGACCTGACAATATACCAGCAGAAGCACTGAAGTCAGACATTGAGATAACTGCAAACATGCTTCACCTCCTATTCAAAAAGATTTGGGAAGAGGAACAAGTGCCAACGGACTGGAAAGAAGGATATCTCATCAAGATACCAAAGAAAGGAGATCTGAGCCAATGTGAGAACTACAGAGGCATCAGTTTGTTATCAGTACCAGGAAAAGTTTTCAACAGAGTGCTGCTGAATCGGATGAAAGATGCAGTAGACGCCGTACTTAGGGATCATCAGGCTGGATTCCGTAAGGATCGGTCGTGCACAGACCAGATTGCGACACTACGGATCATCGTTGAGCAATCAGTTGAGTGGAACTCATCACTATACGTCAACTTCATTGACTATGAGAAGGCGTTTAACAGCGTGGATAGGAGAACATTATGGAAACTTCTTCGACACTATGGAGTTCCTGAAAAGATTGTCAACATTATCCAAAACTCATACGATGGACTACAGTGCAAAGTGGTGCATAGAGGACAGCTGACAGATGAATTTCCAGTAAGGACCGGAGTCAGACAAGGCTGTCTACTCTCCCCATTCCTCTTCCTTCTAGTGATTGACTGGATTATGAAGAATTCGACATCTGAGGGGAAATACGGAATACAATGGACTTCTCAGAATCAATTAGATGATTTGGACTTCGCAGATGACCTAGCCCTCCTCTCTCAAACACACGAACAAATGCAGATGAAGACCGCAAATGTAGCAGCAGCCTCCGCATCGATAGGCCTCCACATTCACAAAGGAAAAAGCAAAATTCTCAAATGCAACACGGAGAACACCAACCCAATCATACTTGATGGCAAAACTCTGGAAGAGGTGGAAACATTCAAGTACCTGGGGAGCATCGCTGATAGACAAAGAGGATCGCATGCAGATGTAAAGGCGAGGATTGGCAAAGTAAGGGCAGCATTTCTACAATTGAACAACATATGGAACTCAAAACAACTCTCAACCAATTTCAAGGTGAGAATCTTTAATACGAACGTAAAGACATTCAGTTCTACTGTACGGAACTGAAACGTGGAGAACTACTACGGCCATCATCAGGAAGGTACAAGTATTTATAAATAGCTGTCTATGCAAAATACTCAACATCCATTGGCCGGATACTATCAGCAACAGCGTTTTATAGGAGAGGACAAACCAGCTTCCAGCTGAAGAGGAAATTAGGAAAAGACGTTGGAAGTGGATCGGACATACATCAAAGAAATCACCAATGTGCATCACGACTCAATCCCTAACTTGGAATCTGGAAGGGAAGCGGAAAAGTGGAAGGCCAAAGAACACATTACGCCGAGAAATAGAAGCAGATATGAAAAGGATGAACAGCAACTGGAAAGAACTGGAAAGGAAGGCTCAGGACAGAGTTGGATGGAGAATGCTGGTGAGCGGCCTATTCTCCTCGACCAGGGGTAACGGGCGTAAGTAAGTAAGTAAGTAAGTCATTCATCCTAAACGCTATGAAACAAACTGTGATTATAGATTGAGAGGATTTTGTGGATAATTGCACAACTTCAATTCACATGAAGATTGAATGTGGACAAAATGATTGGTGTGTAATGAAAGACATGTCAAACGGTCATCTTGTTTTCTGATGAAAAGTATTATTGTTGTTCCGTTTTACGCCTAACGTGTATATAGAGACTCAAGTTTTCACCGGTTACATTCTTGATTTAAGTAATTACTGAAAGTGAATCATTCTGTTATTATGAATATTTACATCACACTGTATTTCCTTTAATAAGTCTCTGAGAATGTCATACGTTATGTACATTTTCTATCAAATTACTCTGAACATTGAGTGCATGAATGAGAACAACAGAATGCAGATAAGATGTGACAATATAATATTTGAGAAAGCAACCTGTTTCTGAAAGAATAAAACTCGATTTCGAGAAAATTACTTTCTTTCGTCTTCTGTGTTTATTTTTGAACTGAGAATATCGCAAGTCCTCTGCCAAGCTTCTTCTGGTTCGATAGTAAATTCCCATTCGTTATACGATTCATTTCCGAATACATTTCTAAGTAAGACATCCCAATCGATCTGGTCAAAATAAATAATTTGAAATTAGTTTACAAATTCAAGGAGATGTGTTATGTTTGACACAATGTTCCACTGTTATCATGTTATCGGAAACAGTCACTTACGTGAACTGCACACTGTGGTGTGTGTTAATGTTCTACTGTTATCATGTTCTCTGATGCATTCGATTACGTTGACTGCACACTGTGGTGTATGCTAATTTTGTCTATCGACCTAAGTAGTGTGTAACAACAATCAGAAGTTGGATGTCTGCCAAAAGATGGTTGAGAAGATTGCACTTGCAAAAACAGGAAGGGAAGCATAAATGAATTGAGAAATGGAAGAAACATGATAGAAGATTTGCAAATGAAGTGTTCAATGCATGGTTTTCACAATTTGTTAAAGAATGTGGCATTAAACAATGGCATGGTTATCCCCACTAGTTCTTCAATCACTACCAGCATAACACTCAACGACTTTCACGAAAATATTTCAGTTGCTCCATGAAGCAATCTTGAAGTTAGTGTTCATCGTTTGTTCAACCGATTTTCAGTTACATATCTGTTAGTGAAAACCGTGCATTAACCGCTTCCATGCACCAAAATTGGAGTAAGCATTTTATCCTTAGTTCTCCCGATGTTTCATTGTGTTTCACCTCGTTCAATACGTAGACACAACCACAAATCCCATGCAGTTGAACTTACGTTTCATAGAATATTTTACTCAATGTTAGTATTAAACACAAATATCTTAGTTCAATCAGACCTTCAATCCATCCTTGTCTCTAGCACATGAAAACATCGTATCATCTTTATATTCACACACTTGCAAACTGGAGTGAAGAACATTGAATTCTTCACATGATTCCTCATGTCAGTGAGTTATCAAACTACTACAAAAATGATCCTATTTCAACTTACAATTGGACAGTTTGTTGTCAGATAGTCATGACTGACCCTCTTTGATTCACTAACCACGGTTGTCTTCTGTATCTAAAACAATATGTCCACATGATGAACAAAAGCAATTATTTGATGCATGATATTCGAAGAAATTCAAACAGTATGATCAAGAATTGACAACGATTTCAAAACTGGATAAACTCGGATACTCGAAGGTCGTTAGTTTGTACTGGTCCATAAACCTGTTGTTAATATTCCCTTTAATTCAATTCATCTGATTCTGCAATCTACTTTATACAGTTGAGATCAGTATCATCAATTTCTCAAGCACCCTCGTTCGTCCAACACTACTAGTACTGGTTTAACCTAACTGGTTCTCTGAAATCTATAATCTTTTGTGAATACAGTGCAATAGTTTCATAGTTATCTTTCGGATAACCGAAATATATACTGTTTTATACTCAGCAAGCAACATAACTAAATATGTCGTTGTAAAGTAAGACATAGAGTGCTCATTTATTCACATGTTCACGGAAATTATGTATCATGAGTTCTATATGATGATTACTGACAATAGCCTCTATTGCATCGGCCAAATACCGCGCTTCTCCACCGACTTAAAATATGTTCTTCTCAACAACGGCCTGGTTCACCTCTTATTAGGTACTGTAATCCATATAAATTGTTTTATAATACAACTGTCAATAAACATCAACAGATCATTCTCGGTTGACTCACGTTTTTTAATTCCGAATACAATTCGAAAACACCGTCCATCATATTTTCATTAGATTTTAGTGCTCCTACATTTTCTAAATATTTGAATATTAGTTCTTTCACTTCGCTGTCCTCTTGACTTGACTGTTGGCAATGAAAAGCACAAAACACAAATTTCTTTATCATCATTTACCACATGCACTTAAAAATTCACGAATTGTGGTTCAAATGAAAAGAATGAATCACAAAGTTACTCATTCGAATATTACCGAAAGTCATTTAACGAATGACTCTAGGTACAACGCTTCCATCGATGAAAGTAAGATGGATTAGACTGTCTCGTCTCGTTATGATGATAACAAGTACAATGTAGATTAGATTAGAAGGATTGTTCAGTACATAATATGAACATGTCAAGCTCGATACGTAGACTTCCTGATTCGAAGAATAAACACTAGCACATCATTGGAGAATTATACAGGTGATAATATAAGGGTTCAGTAAATTCATCATTGGTTACGAGAGAGCAATAAACAGCGTGCGCGATTGTACTACCAGAAACTCGGATATCTACCAAGACTATAAGTGAAAAAGCACAATTACAGACAGATATTAACATCATGAATAACACTTGACACTACAATTTTGACTGGCAATGTTCGGTTCGTGACCTTTGTTCAACTCGTTTTACCAAACATAACTTTATGGATATTTGAAGCAATGGATTTTGCTTGTCGAATCCGCTTTCACAGACCCATGACGACTGGCAACATATTAAATTTGTAATCAAAGAGGTGCTTTGTGGTGATTATAACAAGATCATAGTCGAATCCATGGGTTAATTGAAGCTAGACCACCACGGAGAACCTGAAAGAACGAAAGGTCCTGTGTTTGGATCTCGTGGGGTGAGATCTAGGATGCACACTGCTGAGAAGTCCTATTCTGTGACGAAAAGGCAGTTCAGTGCTTCCAGGCTTTCCACAGCGATCCAGCTCCTATTGACTAATGAATTCAACTATTAAAATATAAGAATTAAACCAATAAACAAATTTTTTAATATCTACGTTATATATGACTGAATTGATCTGTTTGTGGCATCGTACCATGTGTAACTTCTCCTTGTCAATTGCGTCAAGCGATCCTGAATGAATCTAGAAGAATAAAATTACATTCACTTTTAGTAAGAGTGAAAATCAAATGACTAAAAAATACAAGATAGTGTTAGAAATCATCAGGTCCTCATTTACAAAATATTTCATCCAATGTACGCTATGCATTGACAGTCCTATTTGCTCGTTATGTGGCCGTCTCATCTAAGTCAGTAGAAATAAAGAATTCAACGGTTTGATTGTAAATAAACGAAACGGTGACAGTGAAAACTGTTGATTTCTTCCATCATGTGTGTGCTTATTTACAACCGTGTCAAGCGACACAAAGTGAATAAAGTAATGGAAACAACCAATAGACTGAAGTCACATTCCTTCCTCAGGAGTAAATTTTAGTGAGCTATGGAACAGCGAGAGAATAGGCCAACTTAGACTTTGAGACAAATCAGTGGAACAATGTCCTGAGGTTCGGGAGTGTATGACAGTATTGTGGCTAAACTCGTCAACTGACTGAATATCAGTCAGTCAGTTACAACGCAGAACTTCGTACGTACGTACATCGTCGTACATCAGGTCGTTAAGACCAACACTAATCCAACTTCTTTTTCAGGTCCCTCAACTGACTGAATGAGACATTGCTCAAGGAAAACTTTAGTCGCTTGAAATATATTCAAGGTTTGCTCACATACGTGATAACCTGTTTAGTTATTTAATCGGTTTTCAAGTGAATTTCAGATTGACAACATTCTAAGTTGAACAGAGTAATCTAAACTATGTATTTGCAAATTCATAGTGCATGAAAATAATCAGAAACATCTATTGTTTGAAATATTACTTCAATAATTGGAAAGCCATTTTGTGTAATATCCTCAACTAGTTTTAAGGAAAACAAAGCTGTTCCTCCACTTTGAAATAACGATGGTAAGAGTAAAGCGGTCAGACTGAACTTTTCACTACTAAGAACATTCTGTTCGACATCCAACTGCTCCGTGTCATTTGACGACATCAGCCATCCGTTGAAAAGTAATTTGATCAGTTCACCGATTTTCTTCTTTATCAACGGTTTTCCCATCGAGGAAGCGATCGTGCAAGTTTTGTAGAAAGTTTGAGCTGCTTTAACACTCGGTACATCTTCATATTCTGTACTTTGTACTAAAAGTGGAAGAAATCCATGAATCGGCAATGTCAGATGGATTTTAGAGACAGTTATCTAATTATTACACATTTACATTGATAAGAGTGTGATTCATGGTATTACATGATGGTTTACAGTGAACTGCTCCATTAACTTATGCCTAAGACTTCCAGTTCAACTATTAATCCAGCTCCAATCAATCATCACATTCATTTATGCAAAAGAGGACGCTGAACAGTACAAAAACGATGACGCGTTTGGGTGAATTATTGGGCATGATTCTGATCGCATCTGTGAATGAAGTGTTAATTATACTTGAAACCTGAAATAAAATATTAAACATGTAATGATTTGAATGGCGATGAACGAAATTGATTCAATGTGCTGCAACAAATTATCAAATCGATAAACGATGCCCAAAATACTAATACTCTCTTTATAGTCATTATATTCATTCAAAAATACTATTTCATCTCAACAAACGGTTTTCAATAATGTTCGGTTATTCTATTCGTAAATTCTTTCTGACAAGAGTTCGGGACAAGCATTGGAAAACAAAAAATCAATCAACTTCGGTCTCATATTGCTTATTTGTTGTATTCAACATCAATCTCTATGGTGACATATTATTCAGAACAAGCATTTGTTTTTAAATATTAGTAAATTCACCCGGTTGTGTAATTATATATATATATATATATATATATATATGTATATAGTGCTTAGTAAATGACGAGTTTCAAACACCAACCATCATATGTGTATAAATACAAAGCACGGTTCGCAATAAAAACGAGCACAAACTACATCGAAGTAGACGCATTTTGACTAGATCAAGTTTCAACACATATAACATCTAGAAACAATAAATAAAACTCACACATTTTCATGATGATATCATCCGCGTTAAATGATCGATTATACAGATCATTTTGAGAGAGCTTGCCACACGAGTATTTCTCAAAATTATCACAGATTATGTTGATAATGTTGTCACTATTATTACTTGGACAACTTTCATCGATGCACAGTTTCCCTATGAACGAGAGAAGAGAAACAAAATTTCATAAAGAATAAGCCAAAGCATAAAGTCGTGCTTATCACTCTGGTGAAAACGTAGTAGTAGTAGTAGTAGTAAAACCATGTCTTTGTGAATGAATAAAGTAATGTAAAGTTAGGAATGTGGGGTATAATTGTCGACTGAATCATTCAAAATCTAACAATTAATTAAGTGAAGACAAAGGAAATAATTAAAATGGGCGGAATCAATAAAGTACTTGAACGTCATAAGAACGTTGATGTGAATTTATGAAGAGCAAAGGAAAAGTAAACAAAAGAATGCGTAAAACCATATTTTTAAACAATTCAACAAGATGGTATGCAAAGATGGATAGTGGCTAGCAGAGGAATCCAAGACGCGCCTTTCGTCCTATTTGGGACTCGTCAGCTGGGCAAACATGCATCTGAGGGTTGACGTTCACTCTGGGACTCGAACCCAGTACCTTTCGCTTCAATGAAGATTCAAAAAGATAAACAAGAAGAAAAGACTATATTCGGTAGGTAGAAAGGAACAAAACAGAAGTAAAAGCGTGCAACAAAATCGGAGAAGAAAAAGTGAAAACGAAAAAGAAAAGTGTAAAATTGAAAGCCAACGGATACGAGAAAAAACAACATCATCCACATGAGGCAGGTTTAGATAAACTGAATATTTTGAACCAATAAATCACTGACGATATGGAGGAAATATGAATGAGAATAATTTAAATTGTAATGTCACACACGCTCACCTGTTTCTGTTTGGTTTTCAACTCGTGATGAAGGTCCATGTGTGAGTAGTGAAGAGCCTTGTTCTATGGAGAAAATATGAATGAGGCATAATCAAATAAAGAGTCTATTTGCACTGAGGTGACACAGACATTTCGTTCGTACCCACATCATCATGCATGTGGTCGTGTGTTACTTATGTTTGTTGTCATTTACTAACAAACATAACCATGTGAAGTCAATTACGAATGTATTTGAAGTGTGAAATTGTTGAATATCAATTGAATCTCAATAAACGGAATCAGCACTGAATATTTGAGTATCATGAGACGACATAGATTAGGAACAATGAACAAGAATATTGTGAGGTTCTCAAATTTATTTACATTCAACAAAATGGTCATAGATAACACCATAATACCAGGTTAATATTCATGCCTTCATGAGATGGTTCATCATCAAGTGGTCTTTGAAATTTCGATTATTGTCAGTATTTTTCATTGATTATGGTTGACGTATTGTTAGTGACTGTGAAATTGCAATTCGGGAGATATTTTGCTATGATAACGGATATTTACCAAACCATGAATACACTGTGTTATGAAAACAAACACATGCAACCTGATGCACTCATTTCAATGTGAGTTACATTCTCAGTGACAATGATATGCCAAACAACTTCCTTCAATCTCATTCTTATACATTTGATGAATCCTAGTGGATCGTATTTAAACATTCTGTCCCTTGCAATTCTGCTTTAATTCTTGTTCAAAATATGTATACAGTCAATACATGTGATGGAAGTATTATCATCCATGAGCGTCGTGTTTTAAAGTTGATATATTCTCACGTGTACCAGATTAGATGTTCTGAATTCGCCTGATGGCTGCTCGCTTTTCAAGTACGAGTATGGGGCGACCCGAATATAACGATTTCCTTCAATTCAATCAACCTGATATTCAGTGGAACATCACAGTGTACTTGTTGTCAGTAGGTTCTACATAATCCGTAGCAATTACTAAGTCAGCGTTCTCTCCCTACTGACAACCATCATTACACGTGAAAGCATCTTCTAACAAACAGACACGTGTTGTGGACATGAAGAGGCGCTTGTCTTATTTGATTTCTGCTAAGTTAATCAAAACGGAGAATCTTAGTGTTCTAAAACTTAAATTTTTCTGTACGTGTAAGCACTGATTCCTCATAATTTCATGTACCATGTGAAGCAAGAAACAAATTCACAATCACATTTCATGGTAATTCGTAATGAAATGTGACAATATAATCAGGAAATCAGTTGTCTGGTGGTTTGACTTGGTTCAAATATTTATGTTAGCTAGGTGTTCGAATCGACAAGAAACAAAGTTAGGAATGTAGGGTATAATTGTCGACTGAATCATTCAAAATCTAACAATTAATTAAGTGAAGACAAAGGAAATAATTAAAATGGGCGGAATCAATAAAGTACTTGAACGTCATAAGAACGTTGATGTGAATTTATGAAGAGCAAAGGAAAAGTAAACAAAAGAATGCGTAAAACCATATTTTTAAACAATTCAACAAGATGGTATGCAAAGATGGATAGTGGCTAGCAGAGGAATCCAAGACGCGCCTTTCGTCCTATTTGGGACTCGTCAGCTGGGCGAACATGCATCTGAGGGTTGACGTTCACTCTGGGACTCGAACCCAGTACCTTTCGCTTCAATGAAGATTCAAAAAGATAAACAAGAAGAAAAGACTATATTTGGTAGGTAGAAAGGAACAAAACAGAAGTAAAAGCGTGCAACAAAATCGGAGAAGAAAAAGTGAAAACGAAAAAGAAAAGTGTAAAATTGAAAGCCAACAGATACGAGAAAAAACAACATCATCCACATGAGGCAGGTTTAGATAAACTGAATATTTTGAACCAATAAATCACTGACGATATGGAGGAAATATGAATGAGAATAATTTAAATTGTAATGTCACACACGCTCACCTGTTTCTGTTTGGTTTTCAACTCGTGATGAAGGTCCATGTGTGAGTAGTGAAGAGCCTTGTTCTATGGAGAAAATATGAATGAGGCATAATCAAATAAAGAGTCTATTTGCACTGAGGTGACACAGACATTTCGTTCGTACCCACATCATCATGCATGTGGTCGTGTGTTACTTATGTTTGTTGTCATTTACTAACAAACATAACCATGTGAAGTCAATTACGAATGTATTTGAAGTGTGAAATTGTTGAATATCAATTGAATCTCAATAAACGGAATCAGCACTGAATATTTGAGTATCATGAGACGACATAGATTAGGAACAATGAACAAGAATATTGTGAGGTTCTCAAATTTATTTACATTCAACAAAATGGTCATAGATAACACCATAATACCAGGTTAATATTCATGCCTTCATGAGATGGTTCATCATCAAGTGGTCTTTGAAATTTCGATTATTGTCAGTATTTTTCATTGATTATGGTTGACGTATTGTTAGTGACTGTGAAATTGCAATTCGGGAGATATTTTGCTATGATAACGGATATTTACCAAACCATGAATACACTGTGTTATGAAAACAAACACATGCAACCTGATGCACTCATTTCAATGTGAGTTACATTCTCAGTGACAATGATATGCCAAACAACTTCCTTCAATCTCATTCTTATACATTTGATGAATCCTAGTGGATCGTATTTAAACATTCTGTCCCTTGCAATTCTGCTTTAATTCTTGTTCAAAATATGTATACAGTCAATACATGTGATGGAAGTATTATCATCCATGAGCGTCGTGTTTTAAAGTTGATATATTCTCACGTGTACCAGATTAGATGTTCTGAATTCGCCTGATGGCTGCTCGCTTTTCAAGTACGAGTATGGGGCGACCCGAATATAACGATTTCCTTCAATTCAATCAACCTGATATTCAGTGGAACATCACAGTGTACGAATTGACAATAAACCTGCATTAAGATTTATCCATTGTCCACTCAATAAACCAGCGAGGAACAACACAGTTGAAATTTATCTTATGTAACATGTCATGCCATCAAATAACTAACTTAAGCAACAACATAGATATATAACTACAATACAAATATGAATAAACATACCATGAGAATTTCTTTTTGAGAAATGTACCAGCAGGGCAATGCCAATAATCGCTGCACAAGCTACACCAATTACATGAAGAAGTAATAAGATTTTCTCTCGTCTTGACATTTCTGAATGTCGCATATTTCACTGGTATCAGGAAGTGTCTTGATTAAGTCTATCGATATAAGCTGCTTATATACAAATTCAACATAAAAACAATATTACATCCAATAGTAATAACTACATCAGATATAAATGAAAGTAATGAGAATGGTTAGAGTTTTATCAGGTCACAGTGCAGCAAACACAATACAAATTGTATAGTATCACACGTTTAATCCATTTTTAGAGATATTTCAGCGTGTGACATTATCAAACTACGTGTGTTTTCTAAATACGAAGGATCCTAATTGGCACTTTGACAAATTAGAAAGGAATTTAATAGTTATCTTAGAACATTATAATAATATGCTCTGTACATCACTCTCTAATTAGCATTCATACTTTGTTCTTATTTCTTAAACATACCAAGAAATCAATGTAAGCGATTGTGGTGGTTGTCACACAAGATTTAATTGCATACTGAAAAGTAAATTCTCCTGTTTCAAAGAAAGAATAAAGGTCTTAGAATTGGTATCAATCGTGGTTGTAGCAAACTAGTCAGCATTCAGTAACAATTTTGATTATTCTATTCACTTTGATTTCTGTTTCCTTCGATTCCTCCTTCTTCGTTATTACTTACCAATACTTAGCAGTCATTACTAACTTACGACTTGTCATGAAAATCCGTTGTTGGCTGAGATATTTAAAAGTATTGAAATATATTTGTACGGTATATTTCATTTGTTAGTCGAGTTTGGTTCTCCTGGCAATCTTGTCGATCAACATTTGTTGACTGTGTATCACGCGAACTTTCCTCTACAGTTATGACCTCCAAACTGAATGTGCAGATATACATTTAAATTAATTTTGGTGTGCCTTTGTGCGAATTTGGAGAATCTCACCTCCTTGTCTGTATCCCATATTACTAGTCTCGTGCATTTCTAGAGTGGGAACAGTTTGTTTTACTTTTGTCCATACCGATATATTTATTTATTCCAATTCATGAGAAACTACCAGCCAAATATTGTTCACGAACTCTGAATCCTAACTAATTCTTTCAAATTGTTTGGTCTTTCAATAAAAATGTTCTCTTTGTTCTGCTCAACAATTTTTGATGAGAGTTGTCAAACTGGACTGCCACACTTTACTTGATAACCTGTGAGCTGATTAATAAGCTCATTATTAGGACATTTGACCATCGAAGAATGTAAAATTAATTGGAGTAAGAGTCTTGCAAATTTTAACAGGTCACGGTGTCAGATACATATATTTCCTTCTGTATGGTAACACCAGGTTTTGTTCATTGATGAGAAAACGTGATAGCATTCTTTAACTAATACCATTCCTGAACGAACACCATGGTTCTGAAAAGTCAGGTCAATAATGAAACTGACAGTTTTGGTACTCACACTGTTCCATGTAACGTATGTGGCATATGTATACTGTTTCTCACGCTTAAACACACTTAGTTATTGATTCATATCACATAGTCAGTGTTTTTTTCTATGTTGTGGGTTTGTTTGTTTGTTGGTTGGTTGGTTCCCATGAAATTCCTGCTTTTTGAGCCAAGTTGAAATATTAAGTGCGAACAATTCATTTCATTCGGCTCCAAATTTTTGTTTCAATCACGCATGCTCGAGATTAGAGCAATCCAGTAATGGAAACGGAAGTCTAAAATGTTTAGGTTCTGAATGTGTTTCACTATTGTAGCTATTTAGATATAACTAAGCAGATACAATGAAGCAATGAGAAACCAAATGAACATAAACATGAAAGTGGTTGTGTTTAAATTAAGATTATGAGTGGTAAGATTAGTGGAGAGGCGGACAACTGTGGATATTGTTAGGAGTAGACAACTGTGTCGTCAATCTTAAAGAAATTTAATTTATCATTTCACTCTGATGGTTTGCATATGATCATATTCAAAACAATCATTTGTGCTCAAGAGACCTGAAATGATGTTATTCGTGAATTCGCACAGATCTGAAATCCCATGTCTAGACGAACCAATTTTCATTCCTCTCAAAGTTTTAGATGGTTGTCTAACTAAGCATTATCTATGTTGTGAATTATCAAATTCTACAATCAGCACCAGTGTAAATGCTGATTTAAATATCAATGAAAGTTAAGTCATTCGAAGCAAATATGTGTCTTGCCTTCATTTGCTCTCAATCTCACATGTAGTCTGGCGTTGTGATTTTGAATTGCATAGCTACTGAAACAATTGTCAACCATAACCATGATCACAATTTTCAATACAAATGTCAAAACAGTTCTACTGTATGGGGCGGAGACTTGGAGAACTACGAAAACCATCATCCAGAAGATACAAGTGTTTATTAACATTTGTCTCCGTAAGATACTTTGGATCCGATGGCCAGACACTATCAGCAACATTATACTGTGAAAAAGAACAAACCAGATTCCATCTAGCAGAGGAAGAAATCAGGAAGAAACGCTGGTAGTGGATTGGGCACACTTTGAGGAAATCACCCTATCACGTCACAAGACAAGCCCTCACATGGAATCCTGATGGTCAAAGATGAAGAGGAAGACAAAAGAACACATTACGCCAAGAAATAGAGACAGACATGAGAAGAATGAACAAGAACGAAATAGAACTAGAAAAGAAGGCCCAGGAGAGAGTGAGTTGGAGAACACTTGTCGGCGGCCTATGCTCCATTGTGAGTAACAGGCGTAAGAAAGTAAGTAAGTGGGTAAGTAATTAAGTAAGCTACTGAAAGATCACAACGCTTTATTACAGTAAGTACTGTGTGTTTAGATAATATCTACTTGACATTTAAAGTACTGTTTCAAATATATGCCCGAAAGTCATTATTATGGAGTCATGAAAGTCAGTAATGGAAGCGAATACACAAATTGTGTGAAATATATCTCAACGAAGAGATAGAAGACAAAATAGTGAAAAATTAGTAAGTTCGTTTGTTGGTTTCTTTCAATTATGCTCTTGTATGGAGCCAGTTTAACACGTGCACTATGGCTCTCATTTCGAATATCTTTGGTTGTTGTTACATGTAACAGTTACGGTTGAATTGCATAGCTGCTGAAAGATCACAACACTTTATAACAGTAAGAATGGTGTGTTTAGATAATATCTACTTGACATTTAAGGGACTGTTTCAAATACATATCCGAAAGTCATACTTATGGAGCCAAGAAAGTCAGTAAGTAATGGAAGCGAATATACAAATTGTGTGAAGTTTATCTCAAAGAAGAGATAGAAGACAAAATAGTGAAAAATTAGTAAGTTCGTTTGTTGGTTTCCTTCAAGTATGCTCTTGTAAAGAACCGGTTTTACACTGAACGTCTTTGAACACGTGCACTATGGCTCTCATTTCGAATATATTTGGTTGCGGTTACATGTAAGATTTAAGATTGGACTTCAATGAGAAAGAGAGGCAATAAGCGTGAGATCAGTCTGTATGATTGGGCTTTTTCTAACACACAGCTACCGTCGATAAAACGTGATAACTTGGACCAACCAATTGACCTGGTTGACAAATTTTAAGACATAAATTAAAGTGCACGCTAATTCTTTGTTCTTGATGCCTTGTGATGTCCTCAATGAAGCCTAATTCGCAGAAGAAGCTGCATGGAAATTGGAAAACTTAGAAGTTGACATGCGACTAACTACATTCTCATTGAATTGTAGTTTTAAGAAGAGTGATTTCTTCTGATTTCATAAGAAACGCCGAAAAGGCTGTTCATGACTTTCACGATCGAAGTACCAATATTCAGATTTAAATGCAGAACTGACGAACCAATCTTTAACCAATCAAACCAGACTACGAATTTCTGTACAGCGTATCAAGCGTATGATGGTACAGGTTAGTTGGTAATACACAATATCTCCTAACATTTAACGTTTATTTGCAAACACACACATTCTCTCTGTGTAATGAGTCTCACTTTTCACAATGTAGAGATTCTTGACTCATCTTCTCGCTCGTCATTCATCATTCATTCTCATCTCAAGCAGAACTTCATCATGTTTTGATGCTGACCAAAACCTAAAAAATGACTGATTTCCGTCTGCTTGCATTCTTAATATTTTATTACACTACGGTTTTCATTTTAGTGCTCACAATAAGTGTAGTCTGGGAAAAGTGTTTCGCAAATCCCTGATGATTTATCGAGATCCTCTACAGTACCATTAGATCTTCTAACGAAATGTGTACAACTGATTTCACAATTTTCGTCGATGCAGAAAGGATATTGCTTGAGTGAACTTCACGTGCTGCTATTCCAGTGTGAAGTACATTTGAAGAGTGACATGAGGATTACAACCTATTAGAAATCATCATGAGACTAGTCAGTCTCATTGTATATCTAGGATTCGCATAAATTCCTGTTACTTTGTGTGCATTTCAAACAAATAATTCGCTGGACGTAGAACACTCATATATATCAATATTCATGGTCCAAATAGCTTAACTGACACATTGACACTATTGTAAGACAAAGCAAATTTATTGTCACAGTACTTTCACATGACAGTTCCGGGATTTTTGCAAGTATACAAAAGGCGTTTTGTTTTCTTAAAGTGACAACTTATCTCCCAAGTCACAGGGTTGGTGATTTTTCTGACTTCCGTGTCACTTTTCCTGAAATGTATATCACAAATGTAGTCATCCGACATTTGAACATACAATCGAATTACCTGATACGAACACTTATCCAGATATTGTAGAAACAATATTTGGGAGTAATTTTTCAACTGGTTTAGAAGCATAATGTTCCCGTTTGTTGACTTGTCAAAATCGATTCACCCGACTGAGACAATCAAAAAGTCTTCTTTACTTACAGCAAAAAAATGTTTATTATTTGAAGAATCGGAGTGAGACATTACAAAAGTTTTAGTTACGGAATCGATTAAATAGACAAACGAATATTTCTGCACACACACCATCAATGTTTTCTTCTAAAGAATACATTTGCGAACAGGATTCATTATCGAGCCAATTTCACATTGGTACACTTCTGAAAATCCTTGACTGTGTTTCAAAACATCGTTCACACTGAAAACAGAGAAAATTAGGATGAAATATATGGAACTATTAATGAAAAACGTTAGTGTGTTATGCTGATAATTCATTCATGATCACAGGATACCAATGTTGACACTGTTTGTAAAAAATACACTTGATGTCGACAATCGTAAGCTAAAATGTGCATTAGTTACTTCTTACGAGCATGTCTACACTGCTGAGACTAAGCCTAATATAAGAGGCTGTTTGTAGTATTAGTCTTGCCTGTATTCAATAACTGAGTGAAGATTAAATATTTCATGATAGTTTTCACAGCCAGCAACTGATAGCTAATATTTTAAACACATATTATGGTCATATTTTAGAATGAAATTATCAAAATACAAATGAATTACATGAATTCGTAGGCTTTTATATGCTTCCTTGAACCGGAATCAATAGTATATGATGATAAGCCGCTGCACACTATCTACAGTTATTAGAGATAGGCGAAAATGAAAAGGATAAGGAAAAGTGTATTAGTGCATTGTAGTTAAAATTCAATGAAGATAACTTACGATCATTTGACTATATCATAAGACAGGAAGGATTATCGAGATAACGGAAACGAAGCTTTGATCTATGTTTTCTTACATCGTAAGATAAACGGCTTGAGAAACGGAGACATATTGAAACAGAGTGTTATTTATTACTCATTCAAATAAAATGGCATACACAAAAACCATCATATTCATTTTCGGTTTTGCCATGTTCAAAATACCTGTCATCATAATCGTTGTTAATTGGATTGTTTTCCACAGACATATTGTTGATTATCATTGTGCGAAACAGGCTTGTATTAGCGGTTGTAGAACATGAAGATAGGTTCGACAAGACAAGGATTTATTGGTCAATCGATCTTTCGCAGTTTGTTTTCAACTGGTTTACTCCGTTTACTTAAAGTTATTTCCATAGCAAGTTCCTTTCCTGCATAACATTTCTACTCATAAGATGGTTGTAATGTAGGTATGCTAGTATTCTATTTAATAATGACTATAGCTCACTACGTTTATCATGAATAATTGTTAACCGAGTTTTCATTCAAATGAAATTGGAGCGGTGTGCAAACTTACTTTTGCAAATGCTGAAAAAAACATCTTCTTTTTATTTAGGCTATCAATATTTTCAGTCAATGTTCCCTTGTATGCCTGCAAAAAATGTGAGTAAATTAACAATAAAGAATATTATATATTGGAAAGTACTCGGAATAAAAGTACATATTAGAAAGTATCACGCTGTTGAACAAAGCAGTGGGCAGACCGATGTTCATGAGAGAGCTTCCAGTGCTTAGTCAATAATTAAAAATAATCTTTGGTCAACCATTTGAATCTTTCCGTGTCTCCTACACACAGAATATTCTTTCAGTCTGATTTTCAAGTGTTAAGCCACCTTCATGCTTGTCATTTTCTGAAGCTCAACGTTTAAGACCTAATTCTCGTATTCTCGCGTACAGCGAACAACTACTAGTCCATCCGACAACCACAAGCGTCTTTCAAATAACAAAAAGCATGTTGCAACGTTTAAATAAGTTTCGTTTCCACTCTCTTCAATGTGCGACGCTTCTGAACTCAAACAATCTGACATTACTTTTCATGCTCATTCGTGTGAAAAACATACCAAGATTCTTTCCTGTTCATATGAATCGTCACACCGAGCGTCGCTTTCGACCCGCCGCTCAGTAAAATTCCCATGACCACCACATTTACCCGCATCTTGACGACATCGGACTGCTTCGCCATGTCCCAGTGCGCCCACGAAAGATCCTCTCTTCACAATCTACAAATCGCTGTGATCAGGCACTTCAGATCTTACCGACACTGAAGAACCAACCTTAAATTAATCACGGAAAGTCAAATATTTCATTTCAATGACTCTAACACCAGCAACAGTTCCACCGAAATTACGTTGACTTGTTCATCACCTCTGTGTGATATGCAAGAGTGGTCAACTTCATATCACATCCGCAAATTATTCAATGAAATTCAAGTTCAAACAATGAGATTTTTTATTTCGGATCTAGGAAGCGTATACAGAATGCATGTGTCAATGTTCAATATTAGTGATTGAGAAATAAAATGAATATCATGTTATTTAAATTCACTTACTTCGAACGACAGCATAAGACCATTTATGTCACTTGACAATCGATAAAATATCTGGTTGGCATGAAGATGGTTGAGATTACATGAAATTCATATAACGTCAGTGACATGCATATTAGGTTTTCAAGTTCAATTTATATAATATCATTGACAAGCGAGATCGAACGACCAAGCAGAAAAAACATTCAAATGATGTTGAAACGTTGGGTGCCTGCATGTGCATTGAAATACAACGTGCTTAATTATGAGATTGGCCAGTTGTCTATAGCTCTGGTACCACCGATAGGTTTCATTCTAGTTTCATTTGAGAGAAGATATTGAATATCTCAGCGCAGTATGTGACAATTGACTGTCAGATCCCTACCTCATTAACAACTGAACCAACAACATAACACTGTACTGGGTGCTCATAATTTCCGAATATAAGGAAGGCTCACTTCGTAAGGCGTTTGCCCAATTCACGTTTTCAATATTTATGGCATCATTCTCATGAGAATCAACAAGAACAACACCGACAAATTAGACTCAGCAAACTGTCAAATAATTTGATTTCGGTCTAAATTTCAACTGAACTTACTGATTGGTATATTATTCGGAAACTATGTACGTATGATAAATGCAATACACCTCTGTATTTTGTCACCATGGTATTCTTTAAAATTTGAATGAATATCATCGTCCATCTAGCAGACACTTTACGGCATATTAACCTCAAAAATCAATTCCGCATTTAAAATGTCAAACACTGTGTAAAGATTCAAAAGTTTTTGGGCTAAAAGTATGTTTAAAATTTTCTTACTTTATTCTGAGGTATCTCAGGGTTGATTTGTTCTGATAAGCAACACAACTGACTTTCAAACGGTGTAGAAGCATTTTGTTTACACTTCAGTGAATATTCCGTTTGACTATGTAACTCCTGATCATTTAAAACTGTAATGAAAATATACGTTGATCGCATTGAGTTTTCAAAAATCAATATAACTTGAATTTTAAATGGGATGACTACTGTTAAGCTGAAAATTGATTTTAGTGTATTGGTGTCAATTATGAATAGCTTTCCATATATTACGATCCAACGGAAAAAAATTTCAGTGGAAACCGTTACTCTAAACAAGTTAACATTTGATGACCTAAAATAGTACACTCATACTCGTCGATAGTAAATTTCTTTATCAATGCCATACTGTTTATCACTGTTTATCAGATACAATCACGCATTCTCAATTATGACTAAATTCGACTGACCAACATAATTGAACCACTATCTTGTGAATTTTGTTAGAATACATACTGTTTACATCCGGATGAGTAATGTAAAAAACCCCGCAATACCGTCAGCATTTATAATGCGCCAAAATATCTACTTTAAGCACCATCAGTCTCAGTTTATACAGATCTCGTAGCTTCACAGGAACAGCTCACTCAGCACACATTTCTCAATTGTTCGTGACCGATTTTTATACCCGGTTGTGATGCCATTGTGATTCAAATACATGCGGAGAAATCTTAAAACCTACCTGCAGATATAATCTGACGACCAAAAATCCAACCGAAAATTCCGTATTTTTCCGACATTGAATGTGATTCACTCCAAAACGGTGGATGTAATATCCAAGAATATATAACAACACTACGACGATCAAAGGTGAAGATGGGATAAGACAACAGCAACTGAAGCCTAAATATTTGTAAATATACAACGAACATTTATTTACTCAGAATGATTGATGTATTTTTAAATCATGAGAAATGACTGAATGAGTAGACCTGCATTAAACTAATATGATGTTTGTCTATTCACTGATGACATATAGAATATCCTGTTTCATAGAGTGAAATTCAAGTAGAGTTGCCGAACTTGGGAGACTCAAATCGTGTAAGTTTCTTGTAATGAAACTATTGGAGATCAACTGTCCTCCTGATGATAGATACATTCAAAGTGCAACACAAAACGGAAGAATATATGTAGTATTATGTTATAGGTCGTTATTAGCACTGTTAAAGTAATAGATATTGTCCTAAAATTGGTTATATACCATGAAATGACCGTCAAATCTATAAGATGTTGCGTGGAAATCACATCATTGTCAACAGTAACTCTGATGAATGGAACAAAATTTAGTGTAATTGTTTCAATCATGTTAACGTGCCTATTTTGCAAGTTACATGTGATTAAATCTATATTTGCATTATGTGATTACATCAGATCAAAGTAAATTGTACCGTCTCCAGTTTTGACCTCGACAAACACGTTTCGTTTTCTTCTACTGTTAGGACAATTTTTAAAAGTGAAAGAGGATTTGAATATTGACTGTCAAATGAAGTGAGTTATATCACCCATTTCATAATGATTCATAAAACCACTAGTTGAGTCATAACTAGTTGTGAATTGCGATGTCATAAACGGTACTTATCCTATAAACATAGGGTTTATTTTGCATGAAAGTGTGTAGTAATTATGATACATAGTAACAAAGTACAACTCACAAGTCCAGTAACATTGAGTCTTCTGATGAAGATGTTTTAGTTCGAGCTTTCTGAGAGTAGTAGGCATTTATAAAGTAGTTATTCTCAGAAAGTTCATTCTGAAAGAGAAACCAAAACATTTATTAACTATTTTGACAGTTTCCGATTTGTCAAATGAAAGAAATTGTTATCGTTTCAACTGTTTCAACTGTTTCAACTCAACAGCTTTCATTTCCTCGGATGCAGAAATTATTGTTACTAATAATCCATAAGATTGTATGAAGGCAGTACAAACAATTGTGTTAACCATAATCAATGCAATCCTCTGATAAATGTTCTATATGGAGATCTGGGGTATATTAAGTCAAATAGCTTAATGGCAGACTTGCATTTCTATTGTTCAACAACCACATTTATTCTAGTACTGAAATAATGAGAATTGTTAATGTCACTCATGACACTTTGGAATAATCCCTCTGAATGATAACACTTCTGAAGAATAATGTGTGAGAACACATGACGTTTCCCCCACTCTCTTTATTTTCCTACCATTAAAAGTCTCAAATCTATCAATTTATTTAGTGTTTGTAATGTAAGCGTATTCCTTTCCTTGATTATTTTCTCACATGTATTTGAACGTGTTTATAGATCTGTTTTTAAAAGTGCCGTCGAAAGTGAAATGTGGAGCTTATTATTCTTAGACTTGTCATAAGAAATGTATACCCGAAGTCGAGAACTCGATTAGTGTATCAATAAGCAGAGCAAACATCTCAACTACTACACCGTTTAAAATGAATCTTTCTCTTTACGTATTGATAGCGCTTCTACAAACTCCACTCACGTTCAAGTAATTATGGTCATTTATCAGTTTACTCATAGACGAGTGTTTTTCCAATGGTTCTGACACATCGAAGCTAGATACTTCAGATTCGGTTCCACAAAGTTTGATATGCATGTGCGATGACTCATTCATATGCCCTGCTATCCGATCAATATCTTTGCTTCGATCCGCCTTACTATTTGCATGGAAATCAAGCTCGTTTGCGATACATCCTACACATCAAAATCCCTTTGTGTCGACAATGTAGGACTACGGATGACGAACGTAATAGGCTGTTTTAAAGTGAAATAGGTGTAGGACGTAAAACAATAACATTGGCAATAAGAACCTCAAAGAGAAGCACTGACACGTTCACATGGATTGGGCAGTGAGGACGCTACTCAGAATAAGTAGACAAAGCTTCAAAACTAAACCATCTAGCTCGACAAGCTTACCACTTCAAAATATGGTGATACATAACCATATATATATTTACGCTGTTCTATTGATAAGTTGGCAACAATTACATGAGTTGAATGATGAACAGATTTATAGGAAAGCTCATATTTTCTCAATCACATACAGAGAATCCTCTATTTGGCTGAATCATTGATCATGAAGTTAAGAAATAATAAAATATTTAGTGTTAAACTTGAGGAACATACTTCGAGTATTATTTCTTTTTCTTTATTCACCTGATCGAGAAATACTGAATCGACCATTAATACACTGATTTGAGAAACCTGAATAATGCAATCGGTTAATATTCACACTATCTATCAAAACAAGACAAACCGTTGAAATAGCTTTTTGCTTGTCATCTTCACTGCTCCATGACCTTTGTGACAATAATTCAGTCAATTTGTGCTTCATTTCGTTGAACATTTGATTCACCTATTCAATATAAACAGATATAACGATCAAAGTGATGACTAAAGAAAAGATGCACGTTATCAGTGGTTGTTTGCATTTTATTACATAATTGTCAAATAGTTGTAATAATAATAAATAGTGAGACAAGTGATTCACTTTCCCTCCCATAGTCAGCACATTTCACAATTGCTCCAGGTACACATTTACACGAATTTTGTCAAAGCATCCAATCAGGTATGTATATGTTTAAAGGGAAAATAAAATTTTCAGAAACCTGAATAATGCAATCAGTTAATATTCACATTATCTATCAAAATAAGACAAACCGTTGAAATAGCCTTTGCTTGTCATCTTCACTGCTCCATGACCTTTGTGACAATAATTCAGTCAATTTGTGCTTCATTTCATTAAACATTTGACTCGTCAGCTGGATGTACCTGCATCTCAGGACCCAGTGGCTGAGTGAATAACACGATGGCGTTTGAAGCGAAAGCTACTGGGTTCGAGACCCATAATCAACATCAACTCTGAGGTGCAGGTACATCCAGCTGACTAGTCCCAAATAGGACGAAGTGGCGCGCGTCATACTGGATTCCACTGCTAGCCACTATCCATCTCTGCTTACCACGCTTGTGAATTGAGGCTATATCGAGGCAATACGCACAGTATGCACATATGCCAATTAGAGACTGACCAGTTGCAGTCCTAACACATCGATGGGAAGATTCAGACAAATAATACTAAATGAATTTTTTTTCCGCCTTTCATTAATTGTTAGTGTTTTCATGACTATATTTTGAACGTATCACTGTCGTGATTTGCCATATTTGCAAATATGAACCATAGATATATGATAAATTATAGAATTCGAGACTCACTTCATCTTTTGTAGTCTTACTTATACTAGAATATTTGTGTTCTTTGTTTATTGTCCACCAGAAATTCTCCTTCGTTTCCTCGAAGCATGTTGGTGATTTTTTATCTTAAATATTTTTGGTAGAAAGACATCAACATGTTGTTACATATATACTTCCAGTTATACACAGACAACTTTCAATACTTTTAATCATAATTAAATGTAAATTCAACAAGTACCACCACTCATCTTATCCTCTGATCATATGAATCATATTGTTCATACTTCCTCTACTCTATTTGTGCATTTTCCATTGTTCATACTGTTCAAAATGATAAACAACGTTATAACCTTCAGTTGAACTTCATTTTATCATTCAACTGATACAGAAAAACCTAACAGACATGAAAAGTGAGGAACAATCTGACTGAATTACACGACTTCGTGCCTTAAGTATTTCACCTTGCATAAACTGTGAATACATTATGTCAATTTATTCGCAAATTAGTTTACGGTCAGCTTAACTACTTCTCCCAATTACTTTGTCAAGATTTATATTCCGACCTGCATTCAAATAAGGTCGACATATATGATACTGGATGTATCAATTATCTGAAATATGTTCCATCGTGTTTATTTGTCTTCTATCTACTTTGCAACTTTATTTGGTGATAAAGCAATCAGCTTAGAAAAAGTCAATATATAATTATGTTCATGCAACTGCCTATGGTACTCACCATTATTTGTAGGATAAAAGTCTTCAAAATATTGCTGTAAGTAGTTCCGCATTTTGTACAAGAAATCTATCACTACCATATTATGTATGTTTCTATAAGAAAAATTACAAAAACCACGTACTCAATTCATATACAAATAGAATTTAATTCAGAATCGACAGTATTTATCGATCCTCAACGTCCATGTCGACAATTCTCAACATCTCAGTTTATGAGACAGATATAGTATGAAACATACACAATGAACACTCTTCATATATTTTCTTGTCCGCAATCTTCGTCTTATCACTTTGATGGGAAATCATTTAATATATTATTCATTTGTATACTCTCTCTATATATACAGTGATCAAAGTGATTTTAACCAACTCATACATAAATCTTATTATTTTCAACATACTTCATTCATCCTGAACGCTATGAAACAAACTGTGATTAAGGATTGAGAGGATTTTGTGGATAATCGTACATCTTCAATTCACATATAGATTGAATGTGGACAAAATGATTGGTGTGTAATGAAAGAGATGTCAAACGGTCATCTTGTTTTCTGATGAAAAGTATTATTGTTGTTCCGTTTTACGCCTAACGTGTATATAGAGACTCAAGTTTTCACCGGTTACATTCTTGATTTAAGTAATTACTGAAAGTGAATCATTCTGTTATTATGAATATTTACATCACACTGTATTTCCTTTAATAAGTCTCTGAGATTGTCATACGTTATGTACATTTTCTATCAAATTACTCTGAACATTGAGTGCGTGAATGAGAACAACAGAATGCAGATAAGATGTGACAATATGGTATTTGAGAAAGCAACCTGTTTCTGAAAGAATAAAACTCGATTACGAGAAAATTACTTTCTTCCGTCTTCTGTGTTTATTTTTGAACTGAGAATATTGCAAGTCCTCTGCCAAGCTTCATCTGATTGGATAGCAAATTCCAATTTGTCATATGATTCATTTCCGAATACATTTCTAAATAAAACATCCCAATCGATCTGGTCAAAATGAATAAGTTGAAATTAGTTTACAAATTCAAAGAGATGTGTTATGTTTGACAACAATATTTTCACACATTGACACAATGTTCCACTGTTATCCTGTTATCTGACGCAGTCACTTAGGTGGACTGCACACTGTGGTGTATGCTAATTTTGTCTATCGACCTAAGTAGTGTGTAACAACAATCAGAAGTTGTATGTCTGTCAAAAGAAGGTTGAGAAGATTGCACTTGCCAAAACAGGAAGGGAAGCATAAATTAATTGAGAAATGGAAGAAACATGAAGGATGTAAGGTACAATTGATAGAAAATTTGCAAATGAAGTGTTCAATGTATGGTTTTCACAATTTGTTAAAGAATGTGGCATTAAACAATGGTATGGTTATCACCACTAGTTCTTCAATCACTACCAGCATAACACTCAACGACTTTCACGAAAATATTTCAGTTGCTCCATGAAGCAATCTTGAAGTTAGTGTTCATCGTTTGTTCAACCGATTTTCAGTTACATATCTGTTAGTGAAAACCGTGCATTAACAGCTTCCATGCACCAAAATTGGAGTAAGCATTTTATCCTTAGTTCTTCTGATGTTTCATTGTGTTTCACCTCGTTCAATACGTAGACACAACCACAAATCTCATGCAGTTGAACTTACGTTTCATAGAATATTTTACTCAATGTTAGTATTACACACAAATATCTTAGTTCAATCAGACCTTCAATCCATCCTTGTCTCTAGCACATGAAAACATCGTATCATCTTTATATTCACACACTTGCAAACTGGAGTGAAGAACATTGAATTCTTCACATGATTCCTCATGTCAGTGAGTTATGAAACTATTACAAAATGGTCACATTTCAACTTACAATTGAACAGGTTGTTGTCAGATATTCATGACTGACCCTCTTTGGTTCACTAACCACGGTTGTCTTCTGTATCTAAAACAATATGTCCACATGATAAAGAAAACCAGTTATTTGTTGCATGATATTCGAAGAAATTCAAACAGTATGATCAAACATTGACAACGATTTCAAAACTGGATAAACTCGGATACTCGAAGGTCGTTAGTTTGTACTGGTCCATAAACCTGTTGTTAATATTCCCTTTAATTCAATTCATCTGATTCTGCAATCTACTTTATACAATTGAGATCAGTATCATCAATTTCTCAAACAACCTCAATCTTTCAACACTACTAGTATTGGTTTAACCTAACTGGTTCTCTGAAATTTATAATCGTTTGTGAATACAGTGCAATAGTTTCATAGTTATCTTTCGGATAACCGAAATATATACTGTTTTATACTCAGCAAGCAACATAACTAAATACGTCGTTGTAAAGTAGGAAATGGAGTACTCATTTCTTCACATGTTCACGGAAATTATGTATCATGAGTTCTATATGATGATTACTGACAATAGCCTCTATTGCATCGGCCAAATACCGCGCTTCTCCACCGACTTAAAATATGTTCTTCTCAACAACGGCCTGGTTCACCTCTTATTAGGTACTGTAATCCATATAAATTGTTTTATAATACAACTGTCAATAAACATCAACAGATCATTCTCGGTTGACTCACGTTTTTTAATTCCGAATACAATTCGAAAACACCGTCCATCATATTTTCATTAGATTTTAGTGCTCCTACATTTTCTAAATATTTGAATATTAGTTCTTTCACTTCGCTGTCCTCTTGACTTGACTGTTGGCAATGAAAAGCACAAAACACAAATTTCTTTATCATCATTTACCACATGCACTTAAAAATTCACGAATTGTGGTTCAAATGAAAAGAATGAATCACAAAGTTACTCATTCGAATATTACCGAAAGTCATTTAACGAATGACACTAGGTACAACGCTTCCATCGATGAAAGTAAGATGGATTAGACTGTCTCGTCTCGTTATGATGGTAACAAGTACAATGTAGATTAGATTAGAAGGATTGTTCAGTACATAATATGAACATGTCCAGCTCGATACGTAGACTTCCTGATTCAAAGAATAAACACTATGTGCGTGATGAAGAACAAAACGTGTGGATGCTTCATAGCGTGGAATGGACCAGTGGGAGGGAACAATAATGGCAATCAATTGTTGTTTGCATGTGTTTTCGAAAACGATGGTACACGTGGTAACGTTCTCTTCCATAGGTTCACATACAAATTATGACTGTCCCACCCATCAAACCGACGTGAAGTCAGATCAGACATATTTCCACTGAAACCAGGCTAATAAAGTTTATGGAAGACGTCAGGACAAAGAAAGGAACTAGCACATCATTGGAGAATTATATAGGTGATAATACATGGGTTCAGTAAATTCATCACTGATTACGAGATAGCATTCAACGGCGTACTCGATTGTACTAGCAGAAACTCGGATAACTATCAAGACTATAGTTGAAAGAGCACATTTACAGACATACTAACATCATGATTAACACTTGGCATCAACCTGATCACAGTATAATTTTGACTGGCCATGTCCGGTTCGTGACCTTTGTTCAATGAAGATAACTCGTTTTACCAAACATAACTTTATTGACATTCGAAGCAATGGACTCTGTTTGTCGAATCTGCTTTCACAGACCCATGACAACTGGCACATATTAGAGTTGTAAATAGAGAAGTGCTTTGTGGATATCATAGTAAGATAATAGTCGAATCCATGGGTTAATTGAAGCTAGACCACCATGGAGAACCTGAAAGAACGAAAGGTCCTGTGTTTGGATCTCGTGGGGTGAGATCTAGGATGCACACTGCTGAGAAGTCCCATTCTGTGACGAAAAGGCCGTTCAGTGCTTCCAGGCTTTCCACAGCGATCTAGCTCCTATTGACTAATGAATTCAACCATTATAATATTAGAATCAAACCAATGAACAAAATTTTCTTAATCACTACGATAAATATGACTGAATTGATCTGTTTGTTTCATCGTACCATGTATAACTTCTCCTTGTCAAATGCGTCAAGCGATCCTGAATGAATCTAAAAGAATAAAGTTACATTCACTTTTGGTAAGAGTGAAAATCAAATGACTCAAAAATACAAGATAGTGTTAGAAATCATCAAGTCCTCATTTACAAAATATTTCATCCGATGTACGCTATGCATTGACAGTCCTATTTGCTCGTTATAAAGATAATAAACATGTCTGATTAGTTAAATTAGATAAAGTCAGTCGTCAAATAAGATGGTGTTTCATTTTCTAACAAAGGTGCATAGATTTTGAATATCAGCGTACAAATGTTGTCATTTAACTGTGCATATCCATGTGGCCGTCTCATTGAAGTCAGTGGAAATAAGGATTTCAACGAGTTGATTGTAAATAAACGAAACGATGACAGTGATTTTTGTTGATTTTTTCCATCATGTGTGTGCTTATTTACAAATGTGTCTAGCGATACAAAGTGAATAAATTAATGGAAACAACCAATAGACTGAAGTCACATTCCTTCCTCAGGAGTAAATTTTAGTGAGCTATGGAACAGCGAGAGAATAGGCCAACTTAGACTTTGAGACAAATCAGTGGAACAATGTCCTGAGGTTCGGGAGTGCATGACAGTATTGTGGCCAAACTCGTCAATTGACTGAATATCAGTCCGTCAGTTACAACGCAGAACTTCGTACGTACGTACATCGTCGTACATCAGGTCGTTAAGACCAACACTAATCCAACTTCTTTTTCAGGTCCCTTAACTGACTGAATGAGACATTGCTCAAGGAAAACTTTAGTCGCTTGAAATATATTCAAGGTTTGCTCACATACGTGATAACCTGTTTAGTTATTTTATCGGTTTTCAAGTGAATTTCAGATTGACAACATTCTAAGTTGAACAGAGTAATCTAAACTATGTATTTGCAACTCCATAGTGCATGAAAATAATCAGAAACATTTATTATTTGAAATCTTACTTCAATAGTAACCCCAAATAGTTTTAACGAAAATAAAGCTGTTCCTCTACTTTGAAATAACGATGGTAAGAGTAAAGCGGTCAGACTGAACTTTTCACTACTAAGAACATTCTGTTCGACATCCAACTGCTCCGTGTCATTTGACGACATCAGCCATCCGTTGAAAAGTAATTTGATCAGTTCACCGATTTTCTTCTTTATCAACGGTTTTCCCATCGAGGAAGCGATCGTGCAAGTTTTGTAGAAAGCTTGAGCTGCTTTAACACTCGGTACATCTTCATATTCTGTACTTTGTACTAAAAGTGGAAGAAATCCATGAATCGGCAATGTCAGATGGATTTAAGAGACAGTTATCTAATTATTACACATTTACATTGATAAGAGTGTGATTCATGGTATTACGTGATGGTTTACAGTGAACAGCTCCATTAATTTATGCCTAAGACTTCCGATTCAACCATTATTATTGCTCTATTTCACATGTCAGTCATCACGTTCATTCATGCAAATGAGGATTCTGAGTACAGTCAATGGGTTTGAGGCATTCAAACCCGAACAATTCATTATTCTAATGTTGATGTGCTGACCAGTACTTGTCGTTTTCCAACACCTAATTCGATGTTTGAGATACATCTTGTGTAACATACAGAACGCCGTGTAGTTATTTCTATTGCATTGAGAATGTTCACGTAATTGAACACACGTTTTCGCGAATAGACACTCTATTTTCAAAGTGCTTTGTAAACCAGTCGCGGTACTATGATTCTTGAGGCCTGATTAGACCAACAAGATAAGACAGAATACACAGTTCTTCAAAGTATCAAATTTTGAATAACACTGCTTAACAACAGAAGACAGTGTCAAATTATCTGGTACATTTCAGCCATTGTATAGTCTACAGTATTCTGTCTTTAATAAATGTGTAGACAAATGCTCTTTAATCTCTCTTTAAGGAGGACTTCTAACTACACCGTATTTTAACAAAATTATCAATATTCAGAATCATGAACAGAACGAAAACGATGACGTGTTTGGGTGAATTGGTGGGCATGATTCTGATAGCATCTGTGAATGAAGTGTCAATTATACATGAAACCTGAAGTGAAATATTAGATACATAATTATTTGAATGGCGATGACCGAAATTGATTCAATGCACCGCACCATGTTATTAAATCCATAAACGATGTCCCAAATACTAATACTCTCTTTATAGTCTTTATATTCATTCAAGCGTACTGTCTCATCTCAACAAACTTTTTTCAATAATGTTCGGTTATTGTATTCGTAAATTCTTTCTGACAAGAGTTCGGGACAAGAGTTGAAAAACAGAAAATCAAACAACTTTGGTATCATATTGCTTATTTGTTGAATTCAGCATCAATCTCTATGGTGACATATTATTCAGAACAAGCATTTGTTTTTAAATATTAGTAAATTTACCCGGTTGTGTAATTATATATATATATGTATATAGTGCTTAGTAAATGACGAGTTTCAAACACCAACCATCATATGTATATAAATACAAAGCACGGTTTGCAATAAAAACGAGCACAAACTACATCGAAGTTGACGCATTTTGACTAGATCAAGTTTCAACACATATAACATCTAGAAACAATAAATAAAACTCACACATTTTCATGATGATATCATCCGCGTTAAATGATCGATTATACAGACTATTTTGAGAGAGCTTGTCACAAGAGTATTTCTCAAAATTATCACAAATTATGTTGATACTGTTGTCACTATTATTACTTGGACAACTTTCATTGATGCACAGTTTTCCTATGAACGAGAGAAGAAAAAACAAATTTCATAGAGAATAAGCTAAAGCATAATGTCGTGCTTAACACGCTGGTGAAAACGTAGTAGTAGTAGTAGTAGTAGTAGTAGTAGTAGTAGTAGTAGTAATAGTAGTAGTAGTAGTAGTAGTAATAGTAGTAGTAGTAGTAGTAGTAGTAGTAGTAGTAGTAGTAGTAGTAGTAGTAGTAGTAGTAGTAGTAGTAAAACCATGTATTTGCGAATGAATAAAGTAATGTAAAGTTAGGAATGTGGGGTATAATTGTCGACTGAATCATTCAAAATCTAACAATTAATTAAGTGAAGACAAAGGAAATAATTAAAATGGGCGGAATCAATAAAGTACTTGAACGTCATAAGAACGTTGATGTGAATTTATGAAGAGCAAAGGAAAAGTAAACAAAAAAATGCGTAAAACCATATTTTTAAACAATTCAACAAGATGGTATGCAAAGATGGATAGTGGCTAGCAGAGGAATCCAGGACGCGCCTTTCGTCCTATTTGGGACTCGTCAGCTGGGCAAACATGCATCTGAGGGTTGACGTTCACTCTGGGACTCGAACCCAGTACCTTTCGCTTCAATGAAGATTCAAAAAGATAAACAAGAAGAAAAGACTATATTCGGTAGGTAGAAAGGAACAAAACAGAAGTAAAAGCGTGCAACAAAATCGGAGAAGAAAAAGTGAAAACGAAAAAGAAAAGTGTAAAATTGAAAGCCAACAGATACGAGACAAAACAACATCATCCACATGAGGCAGGTTTAGATAAACTGAATATGTCGAACCAATAAATCACTGACGATATGGAGGAAATATGAATGAGAATAATTTAAATTGTAATGTCACACACGCTCACCTGTTTCTGTTTGGTTTTCAACTCGTGATGAAGGTCCACGTGTGAGTAGTGAAGAGCCTTGTTCTATGGAGAAAATATGAATGAGGCATAATCAAATAAAGAGTCTATTTGCACTGAGGTGATGTGGTGTGGTTTACTTATGTCTATATAAGTAGTATGTGGTGTGGGTCAGACATAGAATGTATTTTGGCTGAAGACCGATGAGGAAAGAACTGAAATGAAGCGCAATCGTTTGGAAAATGCATGGGCAACGGAATTAGAGAAGAAACAGTAAAGATTGAAACAATTGATTGTTAATTTGCAAATTGACTGTTCATTGTTTGGTTATCAAAATTTACTGAGATAGTCTGTAATTTTTGCTTAAATACATTCGATTGTCCCCAACTAGTGTTTTGCTCACTACAGTGACACAGACATTTCGTTCGTACCCACATCATCATGCATGTGGTCGTGTGTTACTTATGTTTGTTGTCATTTACTAACAAACATAACCATGTGAAGTCAATTACGAATGTATTTGAAGTGTGAAATTGTTGAATATCAATTGAATCTCAATAAACGGAATCAGCACTGAATATTTGAGTATCATGAGACGACATAGATTAGGAACAATGAACAAGAATATTGTGAGGTTCTCAAATTTATTTACATTCAACAAAATGGTCATAGATAGCACCATAATACCAGGTTAATATTCATGCCTTCATGAGATGGTTCATCATCAAGTGGTCTTTGAAATTTCGATTATTGTCAGTATTTTTCATTGATTATGGTTGACGTATTGTTAGTGATTGTGAAATTGCAATTCGGGAGATATTTTGCTATGATAACGGATATTTACCAAACCATGAATACACTGTGTTATGAAAACAAACACATGCAACCTGATGCACTCATTTCAATGTGAGTTACATTCTCAGTGACAATGATATGCCAAACAACTTCCTTCAATCTCATTCTTATACATTTGATGAATCCTAGTGGATCGTATTTAAACATTCTGTCGCTTATAATTCTGGTTTTTTAGTGTTCAAAATATTTATTTAAAAAAAAATGACAAGTTCCCTGGTGTTGCATTGGCTTGCCGTGACAAACTGTTTATCAATTACTAAACCAGCAAACATAAAACCTTCTTATAGTTCATGTTTGTTCTCTACATTAAATGTTGATTTTTATAACAATCTGATCATGCCTGTAAACTGGTGTGAATTCTGTAAATATTATTTGCAGAATATATTATTATTATTATTATTATTATACAGTCAATACATGTGATGGAAATATTATCGTCCATCAACGACGTGTTTTACAGTCGATATATCTTCACTCGCGCCAGTTTAGGTGTGCTTAATTCGCCTGATGACTGCTTGCTTTTCAAGTACGAGTATGGGGCGACCCGAATATAATGATCTCCTTCAATTCAATCAATCGATTATTCAGCATAACATCACAGTGTACGTGTTTTGAGTAAGTTCTAAATAATCGGTAGCAATTACTAAGTCAACGTTCTTTGCCTGCTGTCAACCATCATTACATGTGAAAGCATCTAACCAACAGACGAATGACGAATCGTATGTCGTATTTTGTTTCTTCTTAATTAATTTAAACACGGAATCTTGCTGTTCTAAAACTTAAATTCATCTGTACGTGTAAGCACTGATCCCTCATAAATTCATGTACCACTTGAAGCAGGAAATAAATTCACAATCACATTTCATGGTAATTCGTAATGAAATGTGACAATATAATCAGGAAATCAGTTGTCTGGTGGTTTGACTTGGTTCAAATATTTATGTTAGCTAGGTGTTCGAATTTACAAGAAACTCATATTAAAAGGAATCAAATGTCCGCTCAATAATCTAACGAGTAACAACACAGTCGAAATTTATCTTATGTAACATGTCAAGCCATCAAATAACTAACTTAAGCAACAACATACATATATAACTACAATACAAATATGCATAAACATACCATGAGAATTTCTTTTTGAGAAATGTACCAGCAGTGCAATTCCAACAATCGCTGCAAAAGCTAAACTAATTACAAGAAGAATTAATAAGATTTTCTGTCTTCTGGATAATTCTGAAAGTTGCATACTTCACTAGTTGCAGGAAGAATCTTGATTAAGTCTACCGATATAAGCTGCTTATATACAAATTCAACATAAAAACAATAGTATATCCAATAGTAATAACTACATCAGATATAAATGAAAGTAATGAGAATGGTTAGAGTTTTATCAGGTCACAGTGCCGCAAACACAATACAAATTGTATAGTATCACACGTTTAATCCATTTTTAGAGATATTTCAGCGTGTGACATTATCAAACTACGTGTGTTTTCTAAATACGAAGGATCCTAATTGGCACTGTGTCAAATTAGAAAGGAATTTAGTAGTTATCTTAGAAGATTGTAATAATATGTTGTCAACATCACTCTCTAATTAACATACTTACTTTAATCTTATTTCTTAAACATACCAAGAAATCAATGTAAGCGATTGTGGTGGTTGTCACACAAGATTTAATTGCATACTGAAAAGTAAATTCTCCTGTTTCAAAGAAAGAATAAAGGTCTTAGAATTGGTATCAATCGTGGTTGTAGCAAACTAGTCAGCATTCAGTAATAATTCTGCTCAATCTCTTCACCTTGATTTCTGTCTCATTTTATTTTTTCTTCCTCTTTACTATTTATTAGGCAAATGGTAAGTTTTCTAAATGCGGTTCACCATTTTTGTGGGTCTATGTCTGACTCCATTCAGATCATATGAATGGTTGTTGTCAAAATATACATCCTGTCTATCCTCGTATGTAATACATGACTTAATCGTCGTTGATGAATTACAGAGTTAAATAAGTCAAATACGAGAATGGACTTCGAATACATATAATTTGAACACTCATTGATCTTGACAGGAAATCAGAGTGGTGGAAGGAATGGAAGAGAGTGAAACGGAAATGACACGCATTGGAGATGGCGAGTAAGCCAACTCGCTATTATCAAGCGTTAATCAATACTTATAGTCAAACAAGAATAAGCTACAGACATGTGATGCATAGGATAAAAAGTGTACACACACATACGCTCATATAAAAACAGTCAGGGCTTATAAGTGAATAATTAACAAGGTCGAAACGCGACTCATGATGGATAGGTAAATTGGCTTGTCCAGAAGCTAGAATAAAGTATATGGGCTTAACGTATGAACCGACGCTACAACTACTTACCAATACTAATCAGTCATTACTGACTTACGACTTGTAATGAGACTCCGTTGTCAGTTGAGATATTTAAAAGTATTGAAATATATTTATACTGTACATTTCATTTAACTTCGCCTGTAGCCTACGCGCAGCAGCAAGTACAGGAGAAGACGATCAGTGTAGTAGCAGCCTTAACAGCAGTAGGTCTCAACATACATAAAGGGAAAAGAGTGACTCTTCGATACAACACAGCATACACCAATCGAATTACAGTTGACGGAGAAGCTTTGGAGGATGCGGAAACCTTTATATGTCTGCTAGTCACCTCATGAAATGCCATAAGTTAGTAACCTTAGCACCTGTAGTTATGAACAGACGGGTGTATACTATGGAGCTCTACAACTCTTCGGCGAGTTCCTCCCTGATTTAGATTGACCTGATAGCCATATATATTCAACTTAGAAATGCGCATTCACAATTCGTTTTAAATACCATCATAGAGCATGTTTCGGTTATTTGAAAATGGACGATCTGAATATCTCCGTTAAAAATACACTGCCTAATACAAATTCAACTGTGCGATCTTCAGCTTGTCATCAGGACACCGGAGCTATACAAATTAATTAAAATTTACCATACCTCATGGACGAATTAGAACTTGATCATTGTCAACTTATTCCATTCTACCTCAGTCGATTGATCGAAACCAATCGGCTCTTTTATTAACGTGCCATGACCACAAATTACCGGATGCTCCAAGAGTGTGATATTTGGACGAGTGAATCAAATACACATGTAAAATAAATTTTGGCGTGCCTCTGTGCGAAATCGGAGAAACTCCCTTACACGTCTGTTTCCCACATTACTAGTTTCGTGCATTTCTAGACTAAGAACAGTTTGCTTTACTGCTGTCCGTACTTTTATATATTTATTCCAATTTCAAATGAAACTACCAGCCGAATATTGTTCCCGAACTCTGAATCCATACTAATTCTTTCAAATTCTTTGGTCTCTCAATAAAAATGTTCTTTTTGTTCTAGTCAACAATTTTTGATGACAGTTGTCATACTGAACTGCCACACTTTACTTAATAACATGTAAGCTCGTTAAAATGTATGTGTATAATAATAAAACATTTGATCACCGAAAAATGTAAAAGCGATTGGAGTAAAATTCTAGTAAATTTATCAGGTCACAGTGTCGGAAACATATATTTCCTTCTGTATGGTTACACCGGGTATTGTTCATAGAAGAGAATACGTAAGAATATTCTTCAACTCATATCATTCCTGAACGAACATTTTGGTTCTGAAGAGTCAGGTCAATAATGAAACTGACAGTTTTGGTACTCACACTGTTCCATGTAACGTATGTGGCGTGTGTATACTGTTTCTCACGCAAAACCACATTTGGCTATTCATTCATATCACATAGTCAGTTTTTCCTTCTATGTTATCGTTTTGTTTGTTCCCATAAAATTCCTACTTTTTGAGCCATTTTAAAGTATGGAGTGTGAACAATCCTCTGCTTTGGAACCAAATTTTTATTTCAATCTAACGTATATGAAGTGCTCACTTTCCTGTTATGTGGAAGTCATGTTTAACGGTACCGGCAAAAATGGAATTCAATATTATTACAACCTAGCACTTTTTATCTATCGAGACAGCGTTCGTGAAGCACAACAAAGCTTCAAGTGGAAGAGTGTGTGTGCTTGTGAGTTTCGAAAATAAAATAACACTAAGAACGGTGAGCCGATGACTCAGTAAGCACGCAGGAAGCGCTCACGATTAACAAGGAATGCAATCGCTAAATATGAGAAATTTCACATGCTTGAGATTAAAGCTTTCCGCCAATGAAAACAGAAGTTTGAAACTATCAGCTTCTGAGCGTGTCACACTACCGTACCGGTTCGGATCTAACTGGGAGCATTTTGTGTATTATGAGCACTAGTTTAGTGAAGTGTGTGAACACAGTTAGATGAGATAATGAGAAGAAACTTCCACTAAAGACTGATCAAACTTCAAATATTGTGCACATACCTAATACCGAAAGCGAAATACAACAGACGGTAACAGCACTAGTCACAGACTAGACCACAAATGTCCTGGTGCGCCCAAGATTGAGGGGAGTCAGCCCTCCCTCTCGAAATGCTCTCACATAGCCAAGTGCATACAGCCTCTGCCAGGGAAGTCCTATCCACTGCCTCCTCACGGCATTACCGTTGTTTACGCAATTGAGAGGACGAAAGGCGAATGTCCGGCGCTTTAACCGGGCCTCTGGACAGGGTGAGTCCATCTAGGGGAGTGAAGAAACCGTGATTCTAAACCAATGGTGCACATGGGCTCCAGTATCCTGAAGGAATAAATGGCGTAAGAACTAACCGTTGGTCACCGTCTACCATGTGACTGCATCTCCCAAAGTTGCTCTACTGCCTTAGGAATTAGATCTTTAGGCCAAAGACTTGGGGTGTGGCCCCCTAAGACAAACACCTGCTTTGGTCTGAGCACCCGGACTGTATCACAACCCACAAACAAATAAAATGAAATGACGCCACACGTCTACTCTCTTTTGTTCCTACTTTGTGTATTTTTATTTTCAACTTATACAGCAGCTCGCCTATGATGGAATCACTGTTTTATCTAAGGGATCTCGAGTCACTGACTGGTCGAAAATTGAATGCTTCCACCGAATACGAATACTGAAGCAGTCTTTCTGAAACCACGTATATCATTCAAACTGGCTTCCTTCAACGTTCGCACACTAATGCAGATCATACAACAAACAGGTTTGGCTATGTCTTTGGAAAGTCTTAATATCAACGCTTGTTGTCTACACGAAACCCGTATTCATGATTCTGGTGAAGTACTGCAAGTCTGCGCCCCATCTGTGGCTTCGAAAGGCTTTTTTACGTGCGTTTATCCGGGGACCCTGTGGCATCTTCGTCGGGTTTCACTGTTGTCTTTTGGTGTCGCACTAGGTCCTAGAGCTGAGGCAGCATTAGTCGATTGGATTGCCACTAACAGTTGATTATGTGCTGTTAGACTAGAAAGCTCCAACAAAGTGAGAAGAAATCGGCGTGAGAAAAGATGTCTTTTTGCCATCTCCGCCTATGCCCCGACAGATTGCAGCCCGAATGCAATTAGGGCTGAATTCTACCATCAATTCACTGTTCTTCTTCAGAAAGTGCGTTCGACAGATATTGTAGTACTAGCTGAAGACTTGAATGCACAGGTCAGGCAAGCATCGGTAAGAGAGCCTAACATCATAAAAGGAGGGGGTGGCGTTGCTGACCAGCAAACATGATGGTGGGGAGATAACTTCATTCCACCCGTGTCTGTAGGACAGAACATATTAAATTACTACTCATTGTATCAAGTGGGGTGTCGCGAACGAACAGTATTGATACTGAGTTATTTATGCAAAATACCCTTTTATAAAGTGTTTAAAACGCTGAATTGGTCCCGATTCCTACCGAGTAATCTTATTACAAGCAAACTAGACCATTCGCTAAAAGCGAAGCCCGCTCCATACCCTATAAATTCCAAAAAGGCTCAAGTAGCCTCGACAAAGAAAAGAGACAGCCATTTGTGTATCACAATACTGTTTTCAGTACTATATTTTATAATTATACATAATCCCATACTTTCAGCTTCTTTCTAAACCACCTCCATTTATATAGTTCCTTATCCACTCATGCCTTGTTTACACTTGTTTTCTTTAACACATTATAATGTCCTTTACTAAACAACCCTGCTTGGGATGCATAATGTGAACCAGTATATGTTGTAACTTGTAGATCATGCCTGTAAAAATGGCGTGTACCTGCCCTTGAGGAAATATATGATTATTATTAGTAGGTACCCTAATAACAGAGAAATAGACCTAGTAATTATACCGTAACTATTCCTCCATGAGCATTGTCTGCTCCGCTTCTCGTCCTTGCTTCTTCTTACACCTTTTTTCAGCCCCTTTGAGATACGCCACCGAAAACAGATATGGAACGAGTGACTTCGCCCTGCACCATTATTAAAGCCTCCGACATTCCAGAGGGATATAAGGTTTCGGTTTCTGTAAGCCCCCAACTTCACATAGATCTATTCTCGACCATCAGTTGCATGTCGCGACACAACTTTCATGAAGCGCGCCAACTGTGATATCGACAATACGTTTCTTATTAAAACAGTCTGCACCCATATCTTATGAAATATCAACCCAGCTATATAATTCACTACAGTGAAAATTGTAACTTTTGTAACAATTTGATCTTGCCTGTAAACTGGCATCCTTCACGTAACAGACTGTTATTTCAGAATAAATCATTATGATTATTATCATTCTCGCCCACGCGTCAATTACAAACTGCTTATCCCTCAAGTCCGTTTAAATCAACTCTGATCTATTTTGACGACAATTAACCCTCCCTTTGGTCCGTACAAATACAACTTCCTTTCATTCGGTCTTAGTTATTTAGAAAGTTATGAATAGCGTAGTCAGTGATATTGAGTTTTATCAAGATGATCTCATTCTTCATGGTACTAATAAGGTACTTCATGACTATAAACGTATTTCCTTATTGCATCGTCTAATCGAGAAGAATACTACCGTGAATCCAAATAAGTGTCCATTTTGTATATAGTTTCAAATGTCTTGGATACCTAGGTGATGGTAATGGTTTTAGACCAGATATGAAGCGACAGGTTTCACTGACAAACGCAGTCTCCAAAATATTTTACAGGAATACGTTCACTAATAGGTGCTCATCAATACTATTTCACTTTTGTTCCTAATTTTTCTTATCGTGCCAATTGTTTATTTAATATTTACACATAGTGAAAAATGTCATAAGTTGAAAAGTCAGCTTTTCAAGTGATCTACGAAGACAGTATCTTCTGGGGCCTGGCAGAAAATTCATGCAAATTATTGTGGTTCATTTCCTGACAAATATCACGCATTATTAATCGTTGATTCCTTTTTTTCCAAGTGGCCTGAAGTTTTTTCACAACTTCACCAAATTCTGACTTCAAATTCTAAGCGTTAGGAAGGATGTTTAGTCGAGAACGGATTCCAATAGTTTTAGCGGCTGACAAAGGCTCTCATTTCGCTTCTGATGCAGTCACTACCTGGTTGAATGGTATAGGGTGCAGACATCTGTATACTGCTCCCAGGCACCCTTGTTCTAATAGTCAGGAAGAAAATTTGGTCGGGACATTGAAAACTGCTGTTGATTCTATTGTTGCTCCAACATTGAATGGACTGAAAAGGCCAGTAGATACATTTCTACGTCAATATAGAAATGCTAAACATTCTGTGACGAAAGAGACTCCATCAAAGCTATTGAAGGGGAGAATTCCTCGTTCGAATATGAGGTGTTTGGAGTTTACAGAAGCTACAAAATATCGTGGAAATTATCGTCGACCAGCCATAGGGATCGTGGTGAAGAATGTCGGGAAATCTATGGTACGAATTCGAAATATCAATGACTTAAGTAAACACTACAGAAATGTTGATCAAATACAATTCCAGGAACCAAATAAGTTTGTTCCGATTTCCGTGGTTATTCCTAATATTACTCAGTACATCCCAGACCATACACAGTCTTTATAAATTACAGTGTGTGTGTGTGTGGTAGAAACAAGATGAACTTAAGGGGAAGACTTACAATCGATCACAGAAACTCTTACTCCAATTTAGGTTGTGGTGGATGTAGTGTTTGTACGAACTAATGGTTCCTTCGTACTTGGTGACTTCATCATTTCGAGTTTCAAACACAATACATTCGTTTGTGCTCATCTACTACTTCCTGGTTAAGTTGCGTTATTTCTAGGGTTCCTAGTTTGTACTACAGTTCAAATACTTCTGATTATCACAACAGCTTAGGCAAACACATTCGTCGAAAAGGAAACTTCCTTCACTAAACTCCACTTATAATCAATGACAGTAAGAGTTTTTTTATGTATTATTTTTTTACCAGTATATAGGCGCTCTGAAGAGAATCAACTTGATGTTATATTTTATCACGCGATGGGTTTAGAAGCATTCCTCGGACCGATAATTCTGCGCGAAATGCATGAAACCCAAAAAGAGTGGTGATAGTCATTTTAGGAAAGTTGTTAGTCGCTACTGGAATTTGCTTGTAAGCTTCGACCAAGTCGATTTTTGTGTTCGAAGGTAGCTATCATGTTGTGGATGTATAGCAAGGGATAACCATCGGGAGTGGATTTTGTTTTAGATCATCGATAACCAGTTGAATGCCAATCGCTGCTTTATTTTTAGCAACCATATCCAAAGATACCGAGTGAGTCTTTGGTAACTAGATAGTTCTCAAATCTTATTAGAATGGGGGTATATGGAGGTTGTGGTAATTTTTCTAATAGTTGGATTCATGAGTCGATTTGAGATAGACCACCGTTGAAAACTCAGTAGCTAAGTAGATAAAGTGATGGCGTTTGAAGCGAACGGTACTGGGTTCGAGTCCTAGAGTGAACATCAGCTCTAAGATGAAGGTACATCCAGTTGACGAGTCCTAAATATGACGAAATATCAGAATTGTCAAGAACCATTGAAAGCCTGTAGGTACTGAACGGCCGTTTCGTCAATAATGATCTAG